GGGGGATTTGATAGCTGCTTTCAACTACCTGAGAGGTGGTTCCAGAGAGGATGGTTCTAGACTATTCTCAGTGGTGGAAGAGGACAGGTCAAGGAGTAATGGTCTCAAGTTGCAGTGGGGGAGGTTTAAGTTGGATATTAGGAAAAACTTTTTCACTAGGAGGGTGGTGAAACACTGGAATGCGTTGCCTAGGGAAGTGGTGGAATCTCCTTCCTTAGAAGTTTTTAAGGTCAGGCTTGACAAAGCCCTGGCTGGGATGATTTAATTGGGGATGGGTCCTGCTTTTGAGCAGGGGGTTGGACTAGATGACCTCCTGAGGTCCCTTCCAACCCTGATATTCTATGATTCTATGATTCTATTGTTCTTACCATTATTATTATTTATTTGGAGAACCAGAGCCCCGGAGAGCCCCTGTCACAGACCAGGACCTCCTTGTGCTTGGCTCTGTACAAACCCAATCCCTGCCCCAAGAGACAACTGGTAGACACAGACAGATGTGAGGAGCAAGGAAACAATGAGGCCATAATGGGCTTGCTGCAAGAATTGTTGGGTAGAAATTCTTTGGCCTGTGTTAAGCAGGAAGTCAGGCTAGATTATTGTAGTAAGATGAGGCTCTGAAACGTAAACCCTTGGTATCAAAGGCCTGGTATAAGGCCTGAGGCCTGAACCAAAGGAATGGTCAAGACTTCATTAACATAAATCAAAGTTAAGCCATGAGCCAGAGGCAGGCCCTGCTCACAGAAGTTGGCAGGAAGAAGGCTGCTAATTGGACGTATACACATATCTAAAGGGGATCAAGCACTAATAGGATGAACATGTGCCAGGATGGCACCAGAACAGTCTGGTACGAACATGTTCCACAGAGATAACGAGGAACAGACTGACCCATCGTAAAGACAGGGTCAAAGAGATAATATGATGGATAGACTTGTTGGTTCGAACCAACATGTACCAGGAGAGAGGCAGCACCCCAACGTACAGAAGGGTTGTACCTCGATGCGTCAGGAGTGAGGTGTAACTTGTCTGTAGCTGTGTATAAGAATGCACCCCCGAGTGGATGTCTTTGTCCAGCCTAGGGGGCAGTGGAGAGTCCCACCACTGACCGAGCCGGTCCATTGTCGGGGGACATGTTCGTAGTATGTCCTGTAGAGTCTGCGAGGAACTATTACTGTGCTTCGTTTGACAATAAACCTGGTCGGGTGCCTTCGTACCTTATCGGGGTCTGTGGTCATTGGGCATTCTCTCGGGGTCTGCTGTGCCAGCAATCTGTGCAGAGCCGGGGCAGCACGCAGAGGGAACACATGCACGCAGCTGACTGTTATCAACATTGGATAGAGCAGAGCACCACACCGGTGACAACTGACAACAATTATCACAGTGGACCATTCTGGCCTTAAAATCTGTGAATTGATGAAAGAGAGAAATGGGGGGCAGGGTAGAGATGAGGTGATGGAAGGACTGAGAGGAAAGAGAGCATGCTAGCATTGTTGAGAGTTTATAGCTATTTTGGTCACTGTCCATTTTATTGTTCTCTGAACTTCCCTCAGGTTGATACTATCTCTCTGGCAATGTGGTGTCCAGAAGAAAGTGTGTTCTTCCAGGTGTGGGTGCACCAGACAGAGCTCACTAGAGAAGGCACTGTTAGCTTCTGGCTTTGAGACCTGATGCTTATAGAGCCCAAATGGACACTGGTGTTTTTATCAACAGCTACATTGCCTTGCCCCACCTAGGTCTCTCTCAGCATTGCTGCTTCCCACCCAGCACGTGTGCATTTTGGATTACTTCCCACACAAGTATGAGCCTGAATGTCTCCATCCTGATTCTCACTTATTCGTTTTAACCTCATTTTCTAATCCCTCAAGTTCTCTTGGCACCAGTCCTCATTGGGGTGTGCGGCTCCACTCTGTTTAGCATCGGTCGTGTGCTGTTTACTTTGTCTTCCAGGCCATGAATGGTGACGTTAAATACCACCGGTCATTCTAACACCAATCCTTGTAGTTCCCATTCGACACCTCCCCCAAGTTGATACATAGCGGTTTATCCTTGTCCTTTGCTTTCATAGTCTCTTAGCCAGTTTTTTAATCCTCATGACGGCGTTCAGCCCACACATCTATATGACATCATTTAATACATATTTCACAAGATACTACCAAATCCGTTACTAAAATCCAGTGTACCCCTTGTTCACTCGGGCTCTGCTCCTGCAATCAGCTCTAATTGGACAGACCCACACTGAAGTCAATGGGGCTACATTGCATCTCATTGCAGGACTGAGACTGAATCTGACAAAGCGGTCTATAAAAGCAATCAAGTTTTTCAGGCAATATTTACATTGTATAAACTCATGCTACCTATTCCTCATTGTTCTACTAGGGGCTAATCTTGCTCCCATTGGAATTAGTGGTGAAGGGGGCCAGACCATTACACCCTATAGGTGTTTAGGATTTTTCTTCTCTTCCATGATTTTATTTGGCAGTTAGAATTATGGGATGATGATTACTGAGGTCACTTTTTTTCCTTTTCTGACCCCTGGCATTACACATCGCTCTATTTCTGTTCACAAAATGTCCATGAACAGCATATGATTGTCTCACATTTATATATTGCTTGAAATGATTTGGAGGAAGACTGGTGTAGTGGCTAGGACCCTGGAATGGGAAGAGGGGACTGGTTCTCCAGCTCAGTCAATAACTTTCGGTGTGACCTTGGGAAAGTCACTTTGCTTCTTTGTGTCTCAAATTCTCTGCCTGCAAAATGGATGGGAGATGTTACTCACCTTCACTTTGACAGCTACACATGAAAAGTGCTTGAGGGACCTGACTCAAAGCCCAGTGAAGTCTTCCATGTGGCTTTGGATCCAGCCAGAAAGAATATTAACAAATGCTTCTGGCAACTGAGTCTTCAGTCTGCAGATTGTTCCACAGCAATTTATTTTAAGTGTCCATATTGAAATTGAGCTGTGGTGGTTAGTTGTGCCTGGACACAGGTCACAGATAATTCCTTACAGGTAAATGGCATTTCATCCAGAGGGTATCCGGGCCAGAAATAACGGGTTGTTTGCTGGCCCTCTTCCCTACCATGCACAAAGTGGGACCCTTCCCGAGAAGGCAATTCCTCTTCTTTGCTTGGAACAGGTCAAGGTCACCAAAATTGCACCTAACCTGCTTCTCCTCCTTGCACTCAGGACTTCTCTGCCCTTCAACTGTTGAACCTTTAATTACTGTGGTCTATTTGTTTCTTAGTTTTAGCCATCTCTTTCCTGATTTGGGGAAATGACATTGTCACCACAAATTCTTCTTTTCCGCTGAGAACAAGACCAGCTGCCTGTTCCTTTCTGCAGGACTCACATTCTTGAGCTTAGGCATTGTCTTTCATGCCATTTGCTATGCCCTCTCTAGGACCTTCTTTCTGCTAGATAGGCCCCAGCTTGGCACATAAGGGTCCATAGAAGCCTCTCCTGCCTTATACAATGACAACATCACCCTTACAAAGACTCTACTCTTCCTTCTGAGGAGCAGTGCCCGTGTGGATCTAACGAGTGCCATGAGCAGCACTAGTGTCCTGTCTTTTGAAGCATGTCCAAAGCTGTGGAGTGGTGGGAAGGAGATAAAGATCCTGGATCCTGTGAGCTGCAGAGCATTTTCATTAGCGTTGCTGTTGTGCGAACTCTAGGAACTGTCTGAAAAGACTTGGTTGTGTTCAACTAGGCACCAAGCCCAGGATCTTCAAACTTGGATGCCTAGAGCTAGCTAGGTTTCAGAGTAACAGCCGTGTTAGTCTGTATTCGCAAAAAGAAAAGGAGGACTTGTGGCACCTTAGAGACTAACCAATTTATTTGAGCATGAGCTTTCGTGAGCTACAGCTCACTTCATCGGATGCATACTGGGGAAAGTATAGAAGATCTTTTTATATACACACAAAGCATGAAAAAATACCTCCTCCCACCCCACTCTCCTCCTGGTAATAGCTTATCTAAAGTGATCACTCTCCTTACAATGTGTATGATAATCAAGGTGGGCCATTTCCAGCACAAATCCAGGTTTTCTCCCCCCCCCCCAACAAACCCACTCTCCTGTTGGTAATAGCTTATCTAAAGTGATCATTCTCCTTACAATGTGTATGATAATCAAGGTGGGCCATTTCCAGCACAAAACCTGGATTTGTGCTAGAAATGGCCCACCTTGATTATCATACACACTGTAAGGAGAGTGATCACTTTAGATAAGCTATTACCAGCAGGAGAGTAGGTGGGGGGGGGGGGGGAGGAGAAAACCTTTTGTAGTGATAAACACCCATTTTTTCATGGTTTGTGTGTATAGAAACATCTTCTACAATTTCCACAGTATGCATCCGATGAAGTGAGCTGTAGCTCACGAAAGCTTATGCTCAAATAAATTGGTTAGTCTCTAAGGTGCCACAAGTACTCCTTTTCTTTTTAGAGCTAGCTAGGCACTTACATTCATTCCTAGGCCCCCAAATCAAAGCGGCCTGATTTTCAGAGGCTCCTGTTGACGTCACTGGAACCAGTTAATTAAAATAGAACCCCTAGCAGCTATTGCCTGTAAATATAGGGCGCAAAATCATGAGGTACCTAGATAAGCACTTTGATTTCACTAGCCACCCTGCAGAGTGTCCCATGATGAGGCTCCTCTGGTTGTATTTGAAATTGACCTGATCCATTTGTAAATTTCTTACTTTGACAAGATCCAGGGCATGACTCAAACTTATTCTGTCCCTACGGAAATTAATGATGATGATGGAATCATTAGAATTTGAAACTCCCCTCAGCAAACTGGTTTCACAGCTAATGATGATTCTTGGGAAAGTTATGTCACAATCAAGGTGGAGTATCTGGCCACCTATATATATGTGATCCAAGCTCTCTCACTGGGGTTTTACCAAGCAATTCAGTAATAAACTAGACACAGGCCAACAGCCACTGCCCTTACCATGAAGACAGCAGATACCTTTGTGTTCCTTGCTCTCGCATTTTTCTGCAGCTTCTCAGGTGAGTAACTTTTTGTCTAATCTGCCCAGGATCTTATAAGTGACACTTCAAATCGTAGGAAGCTTTGACGAAAGATGGGTTGGGTCCTTAAAGAGATTTAAATGTCATCCAGCTGGAGAAGTGGCTTGTTCTAAGGGGAAAAGCTCCATCATTTTTGTGTTCTTAGCATTTGTAACAAAACTGGCTTTTTGATGAGTATTTATGAAATTGGCACTATGCATGACGTTGCCATGGGTAACTGGCCTTTTCTCCGGTAAGTGAAAAGGATGGAATTCCACCAGCGGTGTGAGAGCATCCACTTTCACTCATTGTGATGGGTAAAAATGTAATTTTGCTGTCTAAATACTTTCTTTGTGGAGACTGGACAATTTGTTGTCCAGATTACAAAAAAAAAAAAAAAAAGGTAATTGAATTTTTGCACACGGAAGTCAAGGCCAGAACCAAAAATGTAAACTGGTTTTGTGAATTCCTGAAAATGGGAATTTTTCACCAGCTCTGTTAGCATTGAATGTATTTTCCCAGGAACCTGCTGGAATGTTAAATAAAAGGCTGATGCTTTGGGGCAAACTTTTCTACCATGTACCCCTTCATTGTGAAAAGGATGTATGGGCGAGTTCCTTGTGGGTTCACTGTGGCACCAGGGAGAGAGAGAAAACTATCTACAGCTAGTACTGATTTGGCAGAGGGATACTTATATCAGCTCTCTCTAATTGCCCCTCTGCTGAGCCATTATTAGTTGACTAATTTTTTTCAGGCTTGCAGTCAAAATGGGCCTTGAGGATGAATTTAGAGGGAAAAGTAGTGTGGCTTTATGGGTTAGCTCAGGGGTTCCAGGTGTAAGTGGAGGTGTGGGAGAAACAGCCACATCTGACAGAGGTTGGCGTCCCTGGCAAAGCGGTGGAGCGAAGCATTTAGAGTCTAGCGCAGATAAGCAGTAACTGACATGTCTTCAAGTCTTTGGTTTCAAGAACATGAAAAATAACACAGCAAAGGAGAGAGAGAAAACAAGGAATGTACAGAAGTATGGGTCTGGAATGGCAAATTCTACATGCCATGAAAAATCTGATATATTACTAGCTAAAAAGTTACATTTGTTGGGCCCATTAGTGCATTAGATTAGCCTTCATCCAATCTTTTCCATTATTTGAGTTTATGAAGGGAATACTTTTATCTTAAATTTTCCTCAGGCTTCATAATATGGTGTCTGTGTTTGTGTTTTTGTCGCAGGTATTGCCAGCAAAGATATAAATAAGGTTAGTGCACCTCTTTCTGCTAGATACGTTTCCTAAATTAGCTTGTTAACCTAATTAGCACCTAAAAATAACACAAAAGGGCTGGCAGGCTTTAAAAGAAGATCAGAATATTCCCCCTGCCCCACCCCCAATGGTGTAGAACTCAGACTGCAAATCTCTCAGAGACGTAACTTCCATAATTTATAACGGGTATAGCTCACAGCCAGGCTTTGGGATGCTTATCTGGATATATTTGGCCCAGAGAGCTCATGAGATGCAGGTGAGAGATAGTGTGAGAGATGCTTTTCTCATGGTATTTTACAACTTTTGTTTCTGATCCAACTGGCATCCCATGCTGGTGACAATTAAAAGCCATGCAATTTAAACCCACTTTTTTGAATCTCCAAAAAAAAATGATTTGATTCAATATTTGAGCTGAGTCAGCTCAGTTTTTATTTTATGCAGACCCATTTGCTTATCCCCAGTAAAAGCCCACTTCCACAAGGAACAATCCAAACCAATAACGAGTTGGAACATTAATTCTGCCCAGTCTATATTTCCAGCTGTCCACTGGCGAACGCATTCGCTGATGTTCTAGTAGGCAGCGTAATATTCGGCTTGCTGAGAATTTAATGCTTTGCTGAAGTTCATCTCTTGTAACTGTATCACAAGCTGGTTGCTCTGCTCAGTTAGAATCACCACATCTGCACTGAGCTGCCCCCTTTAAGGGTTGCGTTCCCTCCTCTCCACTAGCTGCTTTTAGCTCATTCCACTGCAACGCAGGAGGGAGAGTCATTTGGTTATAACCACACATTCTTCTCTCCAAAGTTGTAGCATCGAGGAATTGGTAGTATGCCTTTAAATAGTTGGTGAGCCAGCCTTCTAGTGGCCCTCGCTATATTTCGGAAGCCAGCACAGCCCCACTGGAGCAGCAGTGTATGTATGTAGTTAGGCTATGCATGTTGCTTATAGTTAGTAAACCCGGTTCTTTGGACTCCACTGTGTGGTTCTCCATATTAAATAAGTTGTGGAAAGAGCTAAAGACAGGATAATGGGCAATGAGGACGGGATGCTAAGACACAACAGGAGTGGGTTACTGCCTCTAAAGGGCAAAGGTCCTGAAATTCCAACCACTCCGTGCAGAAAAATATCAAGCTCTGATAACAGTTCTTAAACTCCCACCCACCACAGTAAGGGAGGAAGCCCTCCATGGAATGCTCTCTTTTAGCTTTTACAGGATGAGTGCATGGAATTTTGGCCGCTCTTACGCAGTGGGCTTTTTTATTGCAATAGAGATAACAACCCCGTCCGCGGCCCTGATGGCAAAACACACACCAACAAATGCGTCATGTGTAGAAATCTGATGTGAGTATGAGAAATAAACAATTGCATCAGAGTAGCTAAAGCAACAGCTCATGCTGCTAGACTGGTTGTTTTCCATGTCTCCTCTCCTCTCCTCCTCCAGATTCAGTCCTACTCTTGTGGGACTTAATTCCATCTGTATGGCATAAACCCTTGGCTGAGGGATATACTGCAACCTCTGACCCTCAGTTCAGAGAGGTTAGTTTCTGACTCCCCAAAACCTTCATTTACCCCCGAGGAATCATAGAATCTCAGGGTTGGAAGGGACCTCAGGAGGTCATCCAGTCCAACCCCCTACTCAAAGCAGGACCAATCCCCAATTTTTGCCCCAGATCCCTAAATGGCCCCCTTAAGGATTGAACTCACAACCCTGGGTTTAGCAGGCCAATAGCTCAAACCCCTGAGCTCTCCCTCCCCCCAGTCCTGTTACCCTTTGAAGCCAACAAGGCAGGAAATAACAGTGGACATGTCCAGAAAAAAATCAGTGCATGTTCTTAGCTTCTGGCTTTACATATGTGCCATTTAAGGGAAATTTGATATGGACATGCATGGCAGAAATGTCTGGGGGGAAAAGAGAAGGCATGGTGAGTGGCAGCAAATGGAGAGAGGCCAAGCAATTTGTGCATGTGTAGCTAACTTAGAGCCTGAGTTCCGTCCCCTCGCCTGGCATTGCATGGGTTCGGACAGGTTTGCGGGATGAGGTCCATAGTCGTTAGATATTTTGGTTTTCCAGCTGAGGTTTGTGCAAATCCATGTCTCTCTCTGCCTCCCCTTCTTTCAGGGCAAGTCAAGTAAATAATGGACTCACAGGTGGAGGAGAAAATGTGATCAGAGGCCCGACAGGAAAGGTGAGGCTAAAGGTTATCCTGATTGCTACCAAGGCATGAAGGATTTCTTTGTGCACCCAAAGAAGCGGTTAGATTAATGTCTCTGGCCCAGTAGCCTTGTGTTGGTTACCTTACCCACTATAATGGGAAATCCAAGCTCAGTTAATCTGTGAGTAAAGGGACATAACAGCCCATTTGCCCACAGGATCAGGCCAAAGTCTGTTGTTGTTACCATGCAGGCAGAATACCAGGTAATGTGCAGCATTTGACAAACCAGAATTCAAAGTGATACCTAACTCTGCTCATGGTCCCTCTCCGATACGTGCCAGCCTGCAAGGTACAGCCTGCCTCTGATCAGCTCTTAGTGCAGGGATCGTGCCTCGTTCGTAAAGCTCCAGGCACACTGTTGGCACTTGAGAAACAATGAATAGCAATAACGCTGCGTTGAAGCTCTGACCAGGGCAGGGTGCGGGAGCAAATGAGCCCTTATTGTGTCTCGTTTATCTCCATGACTTTCACGGCCAGCCCTTTTCTCATGTGGCTGTGTCTCTTTCAGTCGAGGGACTTTTCCTTTTCCCCCTTTGCTTTTTTTATGTCCGTAAGTGGAATGGCTTGGGTCAGAGGGTGTCAGATCAGATGGGTACCTTCCCCACTTCACTCTTTCTCTGAATAAATGGTGAAAACCTTTAACCCTAGAGAATCCAGGCTACTTTAAAAATCCACAAGGGAGATGGGGAAAGCTGTTCCATGAAAAATCTAATCTGAACTCCCCCTAGCTTGGTCAAGTGTGATCCAGAGAGAAGAAGGATGGTTCAGTGGTGCTAGCCTGAGGCTCAGCATTCCCAGGGTCAAATCCCTGCTCTGCCACAGACTTCCTTTGTGATCTTGGGCAAGTCACTTAGTCTCTCTGTGCCTGAGTTCCCCATCTGTGAAATGGGGATAATGGCACTTCCCTACTTCACAGCCGTGTTGGGGGGATAAATACATTAACAATCATGAGGCACTCAGAGGTTATGATAAAGGGGGCTAGATATGTACCTAGAAGGCGGTGAACACTCTGTAGTGGAACCCTTCTGGAGTGTTGAGAATTATATATGGAGACCCAGAGGAGAGCAAAACCTAGACTGAAAGTGTTCGAGCAGACTGTTCTGCAGAAGATGCCTGGAGTGAGAGCAAATTGATAAAGAGCAGCAAGTCACTAGGAGCAACGGGAAGGCATCCAAGAGTTGTGAAGGCACCTAAGAATGAAGTGACTGAACTGTTAAAAATATATCAGATGGTTGGAGGGTAGCAAATGTTATACATCGTTTTAAAAGGCAGTAGAGGAGATCCTGGGAATTACAGACCAGTGAACCTTAGTTCAGTACCAACTACAATGGCTGAAATGATAATTAAAAATAGAATTATACAACACATCAGTGTGATATGACAGGGACCAACCAGCGTGGCTTCTGTAGAGGAAAAATCGTGCCTCACTAATCTACTAGGATTTATTGGGTATGTCAACAAAATAGTGTTTCGGACCAGTGACCAGATTTACCTACCCTCCTCCAAGCTACCTTCCACTTCTGCTGTTGGGCTTTTACATGTTTGGTTTGGTGTGTTGCATTGTGCTTTTAGATTTAACTGCCTCTTAATCCATTTTAATTATTTGTGCAGAACCAGGGCTGCTTTGGAGCTGTTTGTAGGTTAAATTATTATCACTGCTCCCTCTGTATGTTAAGAGTGTTGGGAAAAGTGCTAGAATACTTGCATTTGCTGTGCTGCAATACTTTCCTGACGAGAAAGCCAACGTTTCCAAAAACTCAGCCAGTAGAACACAGGAGACACCTTGCATAAAATGTGCTACTCCCTTCTGCAGGATGACTGCAGTGAATTTCTATCACAAGTCAACGCTAATGGAGAACTCACCTGCACAAAAGAGAATGACCCCGTGCGTGACGCTTCTGGCCGGCAGCACAGCAACAAGTGCCTCATGTGTGCAGAGAAGTTGTGAGTACAGAAACTTTCCTCCAAGTAACTCCAGCAAAAGGTGGAACCATGTGTTCCAAGTCAGAGCAATTCACAGGTATCGAGTCCCACCCAAGTTGGGCGTTTGAGATCCCTGAATCCAAGTGGTCCCACATGAGGTGCTACTGTGTAAGTCTCCAGCACTTGCCCCTCTTCCTCCTTCTGTTTGGTGTGAAGGCCCGGGGCCAGGTGAGAAGCAGCATGGGACAGCAGAGCTTAAGCAAAGGCCAGGAGATGTGGGTAAAGATCGAAAGTCACCACCCCTGCTAGAGGGGAAGTTCTCTCCGCTATTGGCAGCTCCTGCGAAGTCTTCCACTCATCTCTTGTACTGTCCAGATGTCCCCACTCAGCTTCCTCAGTGCGTCTGCAATTGCAGCACTGATATGAAGGCACCATCTCGGTCGGCATGTAGCATGAAGCGGGAATGGGGAAGAGAAATTCAGAGAGTAGGACAGAGTCATCAAGAACTTGTGGGTTTAACTAGGAGGTGGTGGTGTGTGGTAGCATGGACATTTTGGTGGGTGTACAGGGAATATGGAGAGGGGGTTCAAAATTGTATTAGGGGCTCCATCTGAATTCTGTTATGCCCCGAAGCAGTGTTTCTACCTGTAGCTCTACAGAGGTGTCCCCCCCCAGCACACACCCGCTGTGCTCACTGAGGGTGGGCAAACCTCCTGAGTGAGGGAAGTTGCAGATTTGGGAAATTCTCAGTATGCTCTGGTGTGGTCAAGCGGTCTCAAAGCTCCTTTGACTTGGTATGAACCATAGCCCTGTAATGTCATAGTTGGAATCCGTGGTTTTTTGTAGGGTCATTAAATTCAATCATCCACTCATGTTGTTCATGCAGCCTATGTCATGTATGAAGGTTAGAAATACCCCCCAAAGTGGGCAGTACACAACATACAGGCTATCTAGTTTCCATTCAAATTTTATCTCCCTCCCTCCGCCCCGCTCCTGTTTGTCAATCGACTTGTTTGGTTGGGTATTTCACTCTGTTCTGCTGTTTTCTGACCTGTTTTTCTAGTGAATTTTTGTTCAAGCTTAAGTCGAGCTTTGGAACAAACATCATTCATCTGCAAGTGGGAGTCAGCTGGTCCTGGGCTCACTTTCTCTCCTTATCCCTTTCTTCCAGCAAAGAAGATGCTCAAAAAGGCATCCAGTTTGGTAGAAATACGCAGCAACCAACTCTGAACAGCCTTGATGGGAAGAGCACGTATCAGGTAAGGCTCAGCTTTGTGCAGACTGCTACCTGCCCAGGGGCGTTTTACCTTTACACTAAGATAAACGACACATATTGATGATCTCTGGACAGTGGCACAGTCCTTATGTACTTCACTACTGTGTGGAAGGAAACCCAGATTCTCTTTCCAATACCTAGTGGCCTGGTATTTAATTTTATTATTTATTTTCTTGCTGCTTTGGTAGGAGACCAAAGTCCAGGTCGTAGCCATGGACTGTAGTTGTCACCAGGCTGGAAGTTCAGCACGAGGACATAAGACATAAAGCCCTTCACAATATTTGGGAGAGCAACATTCATGTAGCTTCCTGATGCCAGTTGTAGTTTCTATCTTGTGAATGGCATGATAGGCACCGTCGGAGCAAAGCCGGGAGGGAGGGGATCAGACAGGCCTGCGTACCGAGGTGGTTCCTGATGATGGAGTGACCTGCACCGTTAAAGGCTGCACAGAGATGGAGGGGAAGAGGAAGGAGAAAAGAGTTTTAATCAGATGAAAGAAGGCGGTTACTCACTCTGAGCCTTATTCCGCCTCCATTGAAGTCAATGGCACAACTCCTGCTGACTACACAAGAGTGTGGCACCACGCCCTGTCTACACTGAGGAAAGTGGTTTCTGTGGTTTGAGCAGAGGGGGACCCAGCTTAGAAACAAACAAGGCTTAGCTGTGTTCAGGATGAGAGAAACTCCTCGTTCAAGGCAGTCTTGTGCTGACACACTCTGGGTCATGAAAATGGCCCTTCAGCTTGGATTTCTTTCTTTCCAGTGAGATATCCTTGTAATAATTTAGGGTTGTCTGTGGATTCAGCCAGTTTTCCTCCCCACCGCCCTTATATGCCAGTTACTGGTTTTTAGAATGCAGCAAACAGAAACAAACGGCTTCTCAGGCCAGGCTGGTGAGCCATCCGCTGCGCTATTATGACAAAAGTTTTGTGCAGCCTGAAGGTTGCACAAGACTCGGTGCTGGCCTCCATTCTTCCTCCTGGAGGAATTGTAGCCGGTAGCTCTGGGGAGAGGTAAATCCAGTGGGCCTGCCTCCATGGTGACACCCAGGACTGCTCCAGAGCATGTAGAATCTACCTCCCCCCCCACCCCATGGCCTGCTCCCTCACTACAGAACAGGACCATGATAGTCCCACTGTTTTAAGGGTCCTGTGTTCCCTGGGGACAGGAATTTTCCTGGCGCTCTGATGTTTGGGGCCTACAACTGGTTTTGGAGCTTTTCCATGGATTTTTGTACCCCTGCATTGATTGTAGCCAACCCTTTTCCATGGGAAGACTTTTCTATAGTGATCTTACCTCTGCGTGATATGTATCTGGCATCCTCCTCTTTCCGCTTGCCCTGCCGGCGTGTTTATCTTTGAGCCCATTCCCATAAAGCTCTCACCTTCAGCAAGTTCACAGCAGCTTTGTCACTCCTGGTCTTTATTCATTCCACACTCTCCTGCTAGGAGCCGTCCTTTCCTATGGACTTTCCCTGTTGCCACAATGCAGGCCCGTTTGCTCTGCTCCCGTAGAGCCATGAGCAGTCACTGTTTGCTCTGCCCCAATCCCTTTTCCTGTTCTGGGCTTTCAAACAGTGTGTTTGGTCTAGTTACATTTGGCTTTTGTTGTATTGCTTATTACAGCACCGTGACTGCGCTATGGCTGGGTGATATTTGCTTTGTGCATTGTTATCGTTGTTCCCAGAGAGGCTGGCTGTGCACAGAGTTCCCTGCTTAAGGAGTTTACAGAAAGAGGGAACTTCACCGCTGCTCTAAACCAACCCCCTGTGCAAGCTGCTCTGGGTACCACTCCCGGATAATGATGATGAAGCAGATCACACTGGGAAGCACTGAATGGAAGGCCCATTTCACCAGTAACCTGCACACCGACACCAGTGCAAAGTGGGTGCATTCGGATTGGAGAGTGTTTCTCACGCACACACTCCCCACACACATTCTGCACTGGTGGGAACAATGACACAAGGAGCGAGCAAGGCAAGGGTGAATCAGGCCCTAGGGCTTACCTCTGGTCACGCCCCAGGTTCTGGTGAGTATTGGAGCCTGACCAGAACAGAATATCAGATATGCTGCTCCTAGTCACAGCCAGGAGTTTCAATGCTGATGTGCGGGTGGTTGGAGTGGCAGAAAGATCTCAAAGATTATAGAAGAGCCCAGAAGAAACCCCGCATCAAATGTGCTTCTGTCCCTTTCACAGAACAGCTGCAGCCAGTCTGGTGGGACCTCTCCCTGCTCTGCCAATAGCCAGGCTGCTCAGGGCGATAGCAGACCAAACTGCGGGTATGGAGGGTGAGTATGGAAACACACAGCTACTTCTGAGTGACCAAAGCAATGGCTCGAGCTGCTGTCCCAGTCTAGTCCCCATCTGCGTTGACAGCCTGAAATCAGGCTACGTTACACCTTAGTGGAGAGAAATACTTCCAGCTTCTGACCCCCCAGATCTGACCTCTCTGTCCTCCTCTGTCAAATATTGTAGCAACTTTTAAATGCACTGTCTCTCCCCCACCATGCCCACCCTACGTGAAGGAGCTGTGTTGCCACTGTTCATTGGGAAAGGCAGACAGAACTGGGCTTCAATTCCATTAATGCTAGCTAACCCCTGCAGTGGTCTCTCTTCCGAGAGCCAGGCTCATGCTGTTCTGCCATGGCCCCATCAGACAGCAGTATGTAGAACACAGGGTCCCTGCCTTCCTACCTGGGCTGGAATGCAGGATGGGAGCCGGGCGTTCAGACAGGTGTGCTCATTGCCGTGCTAAGCTGTGAGTGACATCAGAGAATAGCGCAGGGGTCGGCAACCTCTCAGAAGGGGTGTGCCGAGTCTTCGTGTATTCACGCTAATGTAAGGTTTCGCGTGCCAGTCATATATTTTAACGTTTTTAGAAGGTCTCTTTCTATAAGTCTATAGTATAGAACTAAACAATTGTTGTATGGAAAGTAAATAAGGTTTTTAAAATGTTTAAGAAGCTTCATCTGAAATTAAGTTAAAATTCAGAGCCCCCCGGACCGGTGGCCACTGAAAACCAGCTTGCCTGCCGCCTTTGGCACACATGCTGCAGGTTGCCTACCCCTGGAATAGAGGATCGTCGCCCCTTTGGCCTTAGCATTTAGCCAATACGCGAGGCCTTGCAGGGCTGTTTCCATCAGGAGGAGGCATTGATGATAAGAGTCAGGTTTACTCGTGGTGCAATTTTGTTTCTTGTCCCCACTGTCCTGTTGCCCTGACCACAGGAGAATACAATAGCAGGCTGTTTTCTTGCTCCAAAATCCCCTATCTGCCAATTCAAGGGGCTTTGTGCCCAAGAAGCTTTGTCTTTCTGCCTTCTCTTCTCAGGGACATGTTCACAATTCCCTCCTCTTCCTCCTCCTGGCTTTCTGCCTTCAGCACATAAAGCCTGCAACCAATCTGCTAGCCACCGTATTTGTAATCAGGGAAACCTTTCCGACAACCTGCCATGTGCCTTGGGCAGTCCCTTCATTGTTTGTACCTATCTCTACTCTGTAAATGAGTTTAATTGCTCCTTCCATTGAGCCTGAAAGAATACTGCGCACACCCACTGACTTCCACTCGGTCTGTGGTTGTCTTTGGATCAAAGATTCACCTGATGGAAGAGGTGACCCGTGCCTGCTGATAGTGGGGGCAGGGAGGGGCAGAGTGAGGGCAGCCGGCTTCCAGTGTTATTGAACATGCTCAGTTCAAGCCAAGCAGAAAATCTGGGGGAAGGGAGCATGTGACCCAGCATGTCCCCCCCGCCCATGAGTTGCATCTGTCTGATGGCAGCCATTCTCATGTTTCAACGTAACCTTCATGGAGATAATCCATATTAGGCTTTCTTTTCCAATGAGGGACCAAAGAGCCCCATCCTCTCCCACTTAAACAGGCCAGACAGAGGGAAGAAGACAATGGGAATGGATGGGAACAGCTCCACAGAAAGCTTTGCTTTAGTGCCAAGCAGGTAGGTGGCCTGGAAATTGGATCCTGAAAGTGTATTTGAGAAATCTCATGTAATGAGGACAGGCAGGAAGCTGACGTGTGTGCGTTCACCCTTGTTAGAGGCTTTATGTGCCAGGGCTACACTACAAGAAGCTCATGCTTTACCTCTTCCTTCCTTCCAGGACGCAGCAAGGCACAGCTCAGTACGGTGGAACCTGTGGAACACAGTCTGGCATCAACCAAAGAGAGAACCAAGGTGTTGGCAACGGCATTATCATTCCGGTAAATCTAACTTCACTCTCTAGCAAAATCCAGGAACCAAGGAGCAATCTCTAAGTGTCTACCTAGCACTGGCTCCACGAGCTATCAGTCCTGGTTCAGAGCAGGCCTGTGAGGCTGATGAGGGGCCTGGCGAAAGACTCATGAAGAAAGATTGAAAAGATTGGGATTGTTACCTTAGAAAGGAGATGGAGAACAGGGGACATGAGAAAAGTCTCTAAACTAATGAATGGTTTAGAGAAGGTAGATTAGAGCTTCTGTTTTCCCTGTCCTCCACACAAGAACAAAGACACGTTCATTGAAATGAAAAGGTGGCAAATTCAAAAAGGAAACACTTTTTTTCACACAATGCATAATTAGACAGCGGAAGTCATCGCCACAGAAATTCATTGAGGCCAAGAGTCTATCAAGATTCAAAGGGATTGGACCTTTATATGGATTACAAGAATATCCAGCATTATCACTAATTAGGGTGACCAGATGTCCCATTTTTAAAGGGACAGTCCCTTTTTTTGGACTTTTTCTTAGATAGGCACCTATTACCCCCCACCCCCTGTCCCATTTTTTCACAGTTGCTATCTGGTCCCCCTATCACTAATGCGAACACAATTTTTGGAAGGGATGTAAAACTTCATGGTTAAACTAATCTCTAGCTATGAGGGGCTAGAATGAGGACTAATGTGGGGGACAGACTGCCCCTATCTGCCTGCTGTTTGACAGTGGCTAGCCCCAGCTGCTTCAGAGGAAGATCTTGAATCTGAGACAGAATCCTGGAGTACGTGGACCCGGAGTCTGTTCAAATGCGGTAGTTCCTATGCTCCTATGTTCTAAGACAAGCTCTGGGTTATAATGAACAAACCATGTCAGCAACAGCTTGGTTATATTTTCTGTCAGAATTTCAGAATGGAAGTGGGAAGGACTTGGAGTGGTTTGTGATAAAACAGGACTTTATTGAATAACTGGAATTGGTCTGGAGAGTAAAAGCAACCACCTAGTTTTTCATGGGTCATCAGCAGGGTTAGAACCCAGGAACTCCGGATCCAAAAGCATGGGCCCTGCCTCATGAGCAAAAGGAGCAAATTCCATTAGGGGGCAGCGGTAGTAGGCTAATATGCTCTTATGAGGTCCAGCCACTAGAGGGAGTTATGCAACTCCAAGGAATCTTCTTCGATAGGGTATCAGATTGCCTTGGATATGAACACTGTCACATAAGGCAGATGATAGTCACAATGTGTTGAGTACAGGAAGGAGTCTAGCAGGGACCTGCAAAGGTCACGGTTGTCTGGTTTAACTTCATTCACTGCATGGAAGCGGGAGCAAACAGCACATTAATGGAATTAGCAGATGATGCTAAACTGGGAAGTCTTGTAATAACGTTCTTCAGAGCAACATCCCTTGTTCTTTATGTTCCCCAGAATAGTCAGCCATAAGATCAGAAAATGACAATTCCTTTCCCAGCAACCGTATTAATACTGGCAAGTTGAAGAGGGTTTAAAATATCTGGAGGTACACACGGTGATAAAAGCTTAGAGGCTAAAAATCCCCTCTTTTCCGGATGTAACTCTTGTTCTTGTTCCTGCTCTCTGAATGGATGTCTGAAATTTTTTAAATAGGAGAATAACAAAATAAGAATGACTCTCAGTCTCCTGGTCTGAATTCCTGACCAGTCAATATTCAGGCTGCAATCCCTGAAACTTTTAGGATTCCTGGATGTTTTTACAAACGACCCAGCACTGGTTTGAATACTCACACACCATGGCCAATATGGCCCCATGAATAACGACAGTGTGAACTCCCGATACCTATTTTTCGATCGGTTTTAGCGTTATTTGACAAGCTCCCATCAGTTTTTCTTTTTTGCCATCTGGTGGGTGTTGTCTGCCAGAGGAGACAGACATCAAAGTCCTGATCCCAGCCACCAATCATTATAAGAGGTCAGTATTGAAAACATCCAGCAGTTTCTTCTACAGTAAATGTATATGCAACGATCCTCTGACAAGGGATGTCAGCAGAGATTAAACTTGATACATTCAGCGCTAATTGTACAGGCTTTTGCTACTCTAATAAAGGAATAACTCTGTTAGCAGGTAGCAGAAGTAGGTTATCTTCTTATGTGAATCGGACCCTGAGAGAGACCTAACACACTGAAACGTGGTCTCAGTAAAGATCAGAGGAGCTGTGGAGTGTGTGTTTGTTGTATGCAACTTTGTACCCTAGTAAATGAAGATGCTGTGATTTTAATCCTTCTAGGAGATAGGTCTCAAGTTCTGTTAAATTGCAAAAAAAAAGGTCTAACTGGATAAGGATGCAAAGAAACATCAGATATTATTTCCTCCTCTTTTTAGACGGACTGCAGGCGAATTCTGCATGGAATAAAGGGTGACGCAATTCTCTGCAGAAATTCCTGGGAACCCATTTGTGGCACTGACGGAAAAACATACAGCAACAGATGCTTCTTGTGTTTGGAGATGATGTGAGTATGAGCAACGGCTTCCAATACCTTGCCATTCTCCTTTTACAAGTGTAATGGAGTAGTCCTATTTCTCTCATGGCTAGCGTTGCGTGGTCCTTGGTGCCTTGCCAGGAAACAAACACAAAGCGGAAGAGGTAAGATTAAAAGGATGACAGTCAGTTAAGATGCAACAAGCGTCCATGGCCCCTCCTGCCCCAGAAAACTGTGATTTTAAAAGTCCTCGTAGACTTGGAAACACCAGCCCAGTGCGGTGAACGTCCAGGGGACTTGTCCCTCGCTGGGAGAGGGCGGTGGCACTGTAACTGCATCCATACCCTTTGTCCCTTCTGCAGGAGAACTGGAAACAGCGTTACAGTAAGGTCTGAGGGGGAATGCGCCAGTGCTGCTCCAGCAAAGGTGAGGCTGGATTTCACACACAATGCCAGGGACTGCTCAGTGCTTCTCGTTGTCACTGACAGCAGATAGTGGTATTCGGGTTGTGTGGTGCTTCACGGCCCCGAGCAGGGATCAGGGCCCCGCTGTGCAAGGTGCTGTACAGCCATGATGATGAAGGGTAGTCCCTGCCCCTGAAAGGAGAGGTAACATAAAACAAGCAGCATGGGCACGGTAAGGAGTAGTCACAGCTCTCCTGCCTAGCCATCCCTGCAGAGCTGAGACCGCACACACAATCTCCATCTCTGCCCCATCCTGGGTAGCTCAGATCTTGTCCCGTGGCTGCTGACTCTTCGTCCAACAGGCCCAGAGCGGCTTTGACTAGCTGGATTCCCTTCACTCATCTTATCCACAAAGGGCCCAGTTGTGAGTCACGTTTAGAAGTTGACTGCAGACCCCACCTTTCTATACTGTCTAAGGCCCTGTCTACACTACAGGGGAAATTCGATCTAAGCTACGCGATTTGAGTTACGTGAATAGCGTAACTCAAGTCAACGTAGCTTAGATCTACTTACCACGCGGTCCGCCCTGTGCGGTGTTGCTCTCCCGTTGACTCCCCTTATTCATCTCGATCCGGTGGGGTACAGGAGTCGACGGGAGAGCGATCTGTGGTCGATTTAGCAGGTCTACCGCCGATGCACCGATCACTGCACATTGATCCCCCAGTAAGTGTAAACAAGTCCAGTCTTGCCCCCCAGGAGAGAAAACCAGACACTTTCTTCTGCAAGCTGAATAGTTACACGGACATCTCCCAAGCCTGACACCTGCTGTCTCTCCTTCCATTCTCAAACCCACAAAGACAGCAGGGCAGGGGTGTTCTCCCAGGGTGACCGCTCACCCCAGGATTCTGTTGTGTCCTATCAACAGGCCAACTGCAGTCAGTACCCCCAAACCAAAGGGAGAGTACTGTGCACCCAGACGTCCCAGATGGTGTGTGGAACAGATGGTGTGACACACAGCAGCGAGTGTATGCTGTGCGATCAAATCCTGTAAGTACACTAATACTTTCTTTGAAACAGTTACTCCTCAGGGCAAGGCTGCTCTCCCTGCCTTTTTATAATAATATAGATAGATAGTTCTTATATAGTTCTCTTCTCATAGGTGGATCTCAAAGTGATATTCTCCCCGTTTCACAGATTGGGAAAATGAGGAACAAAGTGGCTACATGACTTTCCCAAGGTCACACAGGAGATCAGTGGCAGAGCCAGGAATAGAATCCTGCCTCCCTGACTCCTAGACAGCTGGATGACCCGTACCTCCCTTATAACTTTAGTAGAGTCATTTGAGTTGAGAGGAAGCCAGCTGGGTAAATAATGAAAAAACAATTCCTTGGGTAATTCATGTGAAAATTGTTGAATAAGTGACTCATCAAATGTTCTTCAAAGCTGCTCTAGAAAGGGAGCTCTAATGAGTCAGCTAATCCCTCAAGCTGCATGGTGGCAGGAGAAGAGTTAATTTTCCTTACTTGTTTTGTGGATCGATTCAGTGCAAGTGATCTCAGTTTTCCTTCGCTATTTCTGTAGGTAATGCACCAGGTAAGGGTGTGGGATTGATGCCATCTAGTGGCAGCTGCCCAGAGTGGAAGTAGGTTGGCATGAGCGCTTTCCCCACTGGTGACCTTGGCACTTCTATGGCCTTGAACCCTATGGAAAGTGGATTTTTCATCCCATGGGACCTGCTGATGTTTTAGTTTCTGCTCCGACTCGGAGCAGCTATTGAAACAGTTCCCCAAATGAGAAATTTTGGGAAGTTTCCAATGGGAATAGCACTCTCTGAATGCTTGGGTGGGTCATGCTGCAGGCCCTACCTAGGCACTGTCCCAGCTGCTTAGTCTGAGCGCGCCTCTCCTAGGGAACTGTGCCAGCTTTACTGAAGATACAAATACCCCGGCTCTCCTTTGCCCTCACCCCTCCAGTGCCAGGATCCCCAAAGGTGAATGAATTACACTGCACAACATGCCCCTGTGAAATATGGGAGCACAATTATCCCTCTGTTTGCACAGAGAGAGCAGCAACTTGGCCACAGTCACACAGGGGGACTGCAGCTGAGCTGGGAATAGACTCCACATGTTAATGGGAGTTAGGCACCTAAATACCTTTGAGGATCCAGGGACCAGTCTTGTGTTTTAATCACACGACTAGCTTCCCTTTCTTTTTAATTCCTTGAAAGTGGAATGTTCTGATGAGCTTTTCTCAGGAGCAAAGAGCTATGGACTCAGCAGAATCAGGAGCAGTTATGCCAAGGGGTGTAACACCTGTATACGGAAAAGAGGGAAGTCTTAAAATCTCCTCTCATTTGTATGCTTAGAGTCTTAAGGGCAGGAGAGACCAGAAGTGAGATTAGATTGACCAGGAGCAGCTGAAGGGAAGAGAGCAGAGCCCTTAGTGCATTGTGGTGGGCTTGTTTTATTTTAACTGACCTGTCTCAGCAAACAAATGTCCCCAAATAGAGGAGTCTCCCATGTATTGAAAATCAGATCAGCCTCCTATGACCTTGTCTTGTTACAAACACACCTAGGAGCTACATCACACAACAGAACCACTAACCCAGGAACCTATCCTTGCAACAAAGCCCATTGCCAACTGTGTCCACATATCTATTCTGGGGACACCATCATAGGGCCCAATCACATCAGCCACACTATCAGAGGCTTGTTCACCAGCACATCTACCAATGTGATATATGCCATCATGTGCCAGCAATGCCCCTCTGCCATGAACATTGGTCAAACTGGACAGTCTCTACGTAAAAGAATAAATGGACACAAATCAGACGTCAAGAATTATAACATTCAAAAACCAGTTGGAGAACACTTCAATCTCTTTGGTCACTCGATTACAAACCTAAAAGTTGCAATTCTTCAACAAAAAAACTTCAAAAACAGACTCCAATGAGAGACTGCTGAATTGGAATTCATTTGCAAACTGGATACAATTAACTTAGGCTTGAATAGAGACTGGGAGTGGATGGGTCATTACACAAAGTAAAACTATTTCCCCCTGTTTATTCCCCCCTCCCCCACACCCCCACTGTTCCTCAGATGTTCTTGTCAACTGCTGGAAATGGCCCACCTTGATTATCTCTACAAAAGTCCCCCCATCACCCCCCGCTCTCCTGCTGGTAATAGCTCACCTTTCCTGATCACTCTGGTTACAGTGTGTATGGTCACACCCATTGTTTCATGTTCTCTGTGTATATAAATCTCCCCACTGTATTTTCCACTGCATGCATCCGATGAAGTGAGCTGTAGCTCACGAAAGCTTATGGCTCAAATAAATTTGTTAGTCTCTAAGGTGCCACAAGTCCTCCTTTTCTTTTTGCGGATACCTAGGAGAGTTAAAATGAACCCACGGGAAAAGTCCATTAGCTCTTACAACCACAGGAAAAGTTGACAGAGTGAGCGCTTGGTTCTCTTTGCTCACCTTGGTGCTACTCGCTGTGCTCTGACACATGACTAGCACTTTTATAGAACCTCAACTTCTTGGAAAACCCTCTTATGGCCTCTCTTATTTCCTAATTGAGAGCCAACAAATAAGAATGATTTGGGTCAGGGTCTCAGCAGTGCATGACAGCTACTGCAATTGATCATAGCTTGCAGGGTAAGGAACCCTTCCTTCTTTTGAAGCGAAAATAGGGATTCAACAATTGCTATTAAAAGGTAGGGGAAAGTTGCTAATGGTACCTTCCAGTATCAGAGGAGGTGTCAGAAGCCACGGTGAAGGGCCCAATGGAAATACAGAGACACACAGAGAGAGAGAATGAATCCTACTCAGGTTGGGGAGAGATCAGACATTGTCCCAAGGAAATTGTAAAAAATTCTATCCGTTGTTGTCTGAAATTAGTAAAAAGAACAGGAGGACTTGTGGCACCTTAGAGACTAACCAATTTATTTGAGCATAAGCTTTTGTGAGCTACAGCTCACTTCATTGGATGCATGTAGTGAGCTGTAGCTCACGAAAGCTTATGCTCAAATAAATTGGTTAGTCTCTAAGGTGCCACAAGTCCTCCTTTTCTTTTTGCGGATACAGACTAACATGGCTGCTGCTCTGAAATTAGTGAATGTGGTGGTGACTTCTGGAGCGATGTGACTCTCTAGAGGAAAGTGAGCAGTCATCTTGTCTAATCTCTTCCTCTGACTTTTATTTCCCCAGGAAAACGAGATCTGAGATTGGTATAAAGAATATAGGAGCATGCGTTCAGGTTTGTCCATCTCTTTTACTTATTAATTAAAGTGACACCAGATGCAAGAACAGTGCAGGTTCTCTGGATCAAGTGCCATCGTTTTGTTCTGCGTTTGTACAGCGCCTGGCACGATACCGACCTAGTGCTTGACTAGGGCCTGTAGGCACTACCGCTGTGCAAATAATTCACATTGGTAACATAACAATAAGGCACGTGTCTACCAGACATGCCAAACCTGCAGAAAAAACACAGAAATTGGGTTTGTTTTTGGCTTAATTGGCTTGTGAGTTGCTTGTTGGCTAGTTTTTGGCTTGTAGCTGGTAGCTTAATTAGCTTGTTTTTTTTTGATCGGCTCCTGGCAAACAGGGGCAAGGGGGGTAAGAGAGCCAGGGGTGCACAGCAGACCCATCACAGTCCCAGACTGCACGCCGCGGGGATCTAGTCACAGAGTATTGGGGTTCTTTGGGATTGGCTTGTTTTGAAAAGGGATTAGCTTGATTTTTGGCTTATTGTGAAAGTCAGGGTGCTTATTTACCACGTGAAAATTGGCAACTGTGGTGTCTACCTGCTGCTATGGCCCTAAAACTATGGGGAAAGAGACAGGAAAGAATTAGAGACAGAGCAAGGAGATGGGGTTTAGATCTGGATTAAATTTAGGCTGTGGTTCAGACTGTTTTAGGGTTTTATACTACCACTCATCACCATAATATCTGGGTGCTTTCCATGTAAAATCAATAACGATGGCGAAGACCCTAGTGGACTTCAAGGAATCTCTGGAACATCTCCCTTTTCAATGTCAAAACTCTGCTTGAAGTAGGGTGTTTTGAGGGCCAGGGGGTCCGCTGGGATTTGGAAATAAAAGGGGGTTCAGATTGCGAGAGTCACTTATGGAGGAAAGGCTTTCTGAGAGAGCAAGGCTTTGCAACATTTCTAAATGGCCAGACCCTGGATTCACCTGGTCTCTTCTGAAGATTGTTGCACAGCCAGATACACTGAAGGAGAATGGGTTTTGTGCTCTGCCTTGTCCCAGACGAGCGCATCTCTGGGTTCTCAGTTTGGGCCTGATGCCAAACCAGTGAGTAGTTTGTCTTTGGAGTCAATGGTGCTGTAATCCCACGTGGATTAACACATTGTTACAGTGCATCTCACTCCTAGTACTGAAAGCTCCAGGATTCTCTCTCTTGTCGTAAGGCATTCACTGCTTAAAAACCACACTCATGGTGCTCCATGTTCTCTCTTTATTTTATACAACACATCAGAAAAAAACTTGCAAACCCAGTTTTTCTTTCTTAACCCTTTTCTTACATGATGGAAATGTTTGCAGGGCTGCACCCAGACATTCCCAGCTCTCTTACAAAGACGTTAGCTTTGTCAAGTCAATTTTCCCAACCAAAGACAAACAGACAGTGTAGGAAGAAAGAGAAGACAAAAGAAGTGAAAAAAAGAGTCGGGGCTCCAGGTGTGAGTGAGTAACAATTGTTGCTAGCTTCAGGCTGAGGTTGTGGGTACTTCCTCTAGCTGGCAGGTTCCCAGGTTTCTTGACCCTGTTTTTGTGACCCACAATGTTGTTTGAATGTACAACACAGAGTGCACGTTGTTATCACACAACAAATGAATGCATAAATAATAAGACCACATGCCTATCTAACATAACAATGCTCAGGCTCTCAGATGGTCAGAGAGGCTCACCTCTTGCTCTCTTTCTCTCTTCCAAGAAGTAAAGGAGTTCAGACCACCAGCAAGTATCAAAGCAGAAGTGTGACAAAGGTACAGACAAAGATGCTCATCTCCTGCTGCTGTGACAAGAGGCCATAAAAGCACCTAGATAGATATGTCCAGATTCATAGGCTCGTACATTTTTAAGCCAGAAGGGACCTTGAAAATGACCTAGGCTCCTGCAAAACACAAACCACTGAATTTCACCCAGGGATTCTGCAGAAAGCCCAGACCTTTGCTTTTCATTATGGTCAGAGCACAACACCAGAACAAGGATTTGCAGCCCAAATCCTGAATGGTCTCTGGAGTTTGGCTGATAGGCTCTGCAGGGAGCCTTACCCACCCCTCTGCACCCAAAGAGAGGGGCCCTGCCATGTTGTTTCTTTGGGGGTGGTGATGGGATTTAAATGGGGACGGAGGGAATCCCTCCCCAGTACAGGTAACCAGGGCGGCTTGCGGCTGGGCCTGTGACGGTGCCCAGGAGAAACCCGCCCGGCGAACCATCCCAGCACCTGCAGAAGCAGTGCAAGCCTTCTCAGGCCGAGCTGTCCTGGGGAAGGGAGGTGCAGGCTGCCTTCTTTGCAGAGCGTGTGTTGCTCCCTGGCCCCTCCTGGCCCCTCGCAATGTAGGGCTGAGCCTGTGGGGCTAGATTCCCTGAGGAGTGCAGCGAGTTGGGCACTGTTTGGTTTTTCAAGTGCTCTTTAGAGAGGTTTTGCCCTCCAGGACGATGACACTAAGCTTTCTGTCTCCCTCTCTCTCCAGGACAAGTCATGGAAGAATTGATATTAAGCATCAAGAAAGTTGCTCTAATCCTCAGTGCAGCAAAGCCTGCCTTCGTCCTTCTCCTGCACTCTCTAGGGGACAGTCCTGCACTGGCTCAGGTGTAGGGAGATGGCATTACATGGCCCAGTCAGTCTTTTCCCAACTCTAGCTCCTATGGTTCTGTGGTCCCTCCAGGGAGTCCCATTCTCCGCTCTCCTCACATCATGATATATCGTTGTGCTGCTTCAATAAAGTGAATTCAGCAGAAACCTGTTACTTTTCTCCACCATGCCTCCTTTGAGGGACTTGTTTAATCAGCACTTGATCTGCACCCTCCATAGAAGTAGCAGATTAGGTTAGTGGATAGACCTCTCTCTGGATGGGTAGTTGGACCTCACTTTGCCCCTAGATGTTACTCTAGTGGTTCACATGAAGAGTCCAGGTGAGAATAAATAGACACATGGGACTCCCAGTTACTGTAAGTAACCTGTGATGATGCCACGCCAAAAGGGAGGATGCATGGTGTAATGGTTACAGCAGGGGATTGGGAGTCAGGGGCTCCGGGCTCTGCACAGAGTTGTTGCATGGCCTTTGGTAAGTGACTTTACCCCTCCGTGACTCTGTTTCCCACATCTGCAAAAAGGAGATTAATAAAATACTTCCCTACCTCACAGGGCTGTTGTGAGGCTTCCCTGGCTTGTGACTGTAAAACACTTTGAGATCTGCAGGTGACTGGCCACTATAAAATGCAGTGTGTGTTAATCTTATGAGGATGATTCTTTTACTGTTGCCGTAGCACTCTTTTGTCAGAATCAATCCAGACTGCTCCCCCACTCCTCCCGGCAGTCTCTCCTCTGGCCATTGGGGGAGCTTATTTTCTTGTCCAGCCATGGGTTTGAGAGGCCCTGATTTTGGATGGAATTCAGAAACATGAAGAGTACTAGCAAGCGGACAGCTGCTGGCTTCGCTGCAGTGTTGCAGGCTGGCCCAGGGTGCCTTTGGATCTCCTCCTCTGGGGAAGCCAGGCTAGGTAGGGGCATTGCAACCATCTGACGTTTCTAGCTGTGGTCAATGCGTGCTGAATCAGAGCCCGTCTCACTGGGGATTCATCATCTAAGAGCTGATTGGAATATGAAAAATACAGCTTCCTTTTTGCATCGTCCTGGCAAACTCTACCCCAACCGTTCTCACAATGGCAGATACTGCTGGACAGCAGACAGTGCAAGGTGTAAAGGGCAGAAGTGATGTGAAGGCACATGGGGAATGACTTCAAGCACTCCGTCCTAAGACCAATAATTGAGAAATGAAGAGGGGCAGGGGAAGGGGAGGGGAGGCCTTGAACTGACATTTGAAGAGACTTGGACAGATACAAGCAGGCTGCTCCATAGGGCAGAAGCTGTTGGGGAAAAGAGCTCCCGTATCAGCAGTGCTAAGATGGGTGGAAGGTGACTGGACAGTGAGAGGCCTGGTGCTAGAATGATGGGAGGAGATGGGACAGCAGGAAGAGATGAGGTCTGTGGGGTTGGTGGACTCCAGCCGCTGGCCAGTTTTTAGATAGAAGGTGAGACACTTTTAATTGGCTCCAACCTTGTTGGAGCAGCCAGGACAGGGAATAATACATATAAATAACTCCCCAGTCCTAGGCCCTCCTCCCGCTACAACTCTGCCCATGTCCTGAGGGACTCCCAGCTATTCTAGCCTCAGCCCTGACTGAAGACAACACTGACATTGCATTTCATTCCTCCAGACCTTCTGATGGGGCCACATCTCCACCAGGGACCCCCCGAGACCAAGATCCTATCACACTGGCCCGAAATCAGGATTCACATTGAAGTCTCCAGCTGCAAGGCTGGGGAATTGACTCACTTAGTGCCCCATTTGCAAGAGCTGTACAAGACCAAGGCATCCAGTTCCTAGCCCTAAGAGAAGAAACTACTGGAGAGTTTCGTTATCTGAATTAAGGTCAATTCTAGGTCAGGTTGGAATGTACTGAACTGCTCAGATTATTTAAAGACATTTTTCCACTGCATAATCCCCCTGCTTTCTTTGCAGTGAGAGGGCTGCTGGAAAAGTCCCACATGCATTGGTTTGGGAGTGAAGGGTCCCAGCTCCTCAAAGCAGAAAAGGACAGAAATAAAAGCTGAGAGGAAGGGGAAACTTGCAGAATAAAGACCAGGGAAAGGACCAGAAAATAGGGATTAGAGCCGGCTGGATTTTTTTTTTTTTTTGGGTCCAATGAAAAATGGCTCTTTGAGCAAAATGAAACAGTTTCAAAGACACTGGTTTCATTGTAACTTTCCAGTTTTTCAGCAAAGACCAAAAATCTGGAACTGAACATTTTTACTAAAACCTAAAAGCTTTGGCAGAAGGGGGGGTTTCCGCTTTGGTTTTACATCGAAAACCTGAGAAAAATGTGAAGGAAATATATATTTTTTAAAAGAATTGGCGTTTCTCAATCAGCTCGAGTAGAGCTCAGCCCTCTCTCTCTTATCACTGGCAACATAGATAAATACACACAATTCCTCTCCTTCAGAAGAGAGGTTCTCTATCATTTCACCCTCCGCTGGTTTCCTTTCTCCATCCTGTTCCTTCTTCTCTCAGTGTCTCCTCCTTGTTCTCTTTCACATTCTTTCCCTTTCCTCCCCCACTTGACCGTTCCATCGTTTGTCCCTTTCGCATGCTCTAGCTTTCACGTTGCAGGTAAGCACATGGGGCAGGCGGCCAGCTGCAGGACGGGTGGAAACTCTGGCTGTGCTGGTGCTCCCATGAGAGTGCACAGTGCATGCCAGCGAGCATCGGGAAAGCTGTTTCTTACTGTGATTGTCCGGTGAGCTGCATTTCCCTGGGCTTTTGGGTTATAGAGCGACTGGACATTTTCCTGCTGGTCCTGCTTTCATACATATGGGTGTGTGAGAGAAAAACAGGATAAAAGAGCAGGGGTACGTTTAAATGAATGGTTTTCCGGGGGTGTCAGCTGTGTAGGGTGTAATGTGCCTAGCACAATGGGGTCCTGGCATATGTCATGGGCTGCTAGGGGCTATGGTACAACAAATAATCATAATTCCTTGCCGAACTGAAGGGTGCTCTGTACTGCACATGGATTGCTCAGTCCCTAGCAGGATCAGGCCCTCAGCGCTATTAAAACTTGATGCTAAATTGTTCCTGGGGCATGGAGCCCCAAACGGCACGATGCGGCGGTCACAGCAAAGTCCAAGAGGAGTCACAGCACAAAGCCAGGGCGTGGGTCTGCACTCTCCTCATTCGAGACACTGGCCTGTGTGCGTCTCCTGCTGCCACATAAGCTCTTGTCATTGTGAAAGCAAACGTCCCAGTTTAGTGCAGTGGGGCATTCTGGGTGCTCCCTCTGTGGGCCATGGGCCATGATTCGCAAGGGAGCTACACGCCAAGCTCCCATTTCAATGGCATGCGGGGGGTCTAACAGAACCCAAGCCACTGGGATTCCTTCTGTAGCCCCAACATGCCCAAAGGGTTCTCTAAACATCTTCAACAGTCAAAGCAATGACCTCCATTGTGTAAGAGATATGCTAGGGGAGGTAATTTCTTTTATACCGTACCTTGTCCCTCTCATATCCTGTGACCGGCCTGGCTACACCAATGCTGCAAACGCCGATCGCGTACACAGCGTGAGTAGGGATGGAAAGTAGTGCACGGCACATACCCAAGTTTCATCCCAGGACATAGTTCTGTGGCTGGGGGAATAACTTTTGAAAAATAAGTGCTGCTTACAGAATTCAATGGTTCATCCTCTGGGCTGCCCTCACCTTTAACATGGAGACGCAGCCCACAGAGACTACAAGTCCCAGCATGCAATATTATATCTCGATCCAAGCTCTCAAGCCACTCAGCTCCAGCTGGATCTCTTCATGCTGGGACATATAGTCTCAGTAGCCTGCGCCCTCCATATTTAAAGATGAGGTAGCCAAAATTCATTCCATCTGCTTAATGCAAATGAATAGCCCTCCAACTCCTGGCCAGTGGACACTCAGGCTGTCTGTTGGGCCAAATCTGGGTGCACGGAATAATGGGAGGAGGTCACAGACCCATTGCTTGAGTCAATGAAGCTTGAATTGGACAAAGTACAGGCTCACAGACCATAGGGATAAATCCTGCATTGATCGGGGATGGGAAATGAGGTCTGACACTGTAGGTGTTTTCCTTCTCTCTGATTTTTTAAAGTCACATAGTGAATGATTATAACCTTAGCTAAGCCACAGTGAAAGTCATGCTGTCAGAAGGACACAAAGTCTGTTTAATCAGCACACACTAGAGGCTGTCTGCCCTTAGAAATATCAGACTTCAACGAGGTTGCAGAGACGTAACTGAGGATGTAGGATTAGACCCTGGTCTCCAAATGAATTCTTTGAAAACAGAGCCATGTTATTACAATTATTTGTATTGCAGTAGCACCCATGAGCCCCATTCATGGCCCAGGACCCTGCTGGGTGTGGGTTGCATCCAGGAAATTTGCACACTAGAGGCTAAGGTCTGCCCTTAGTTGATGTTCTGTCTTAGAATTACCCAGGTAGGGATATGGCAGGAAACAGACTATGATTCTAGGATAATGGGCCTCTAGGAGATGGCCTTCCAGATTATGTTAGGATATGACACTGTGTCAGAGAGCAACTCAGTCTCCTGTGCTCATTTAACTTGGTGTGTCTTAAAGGCCCCAGGCCTGCAGGCAGTCACCTTGGGAACTCCACCCTGTGTGCCCCTCTGGACGCTTTGTCGGGTGCGCGCACCCATTGTGCTTTCCCTGATAGCGGTGTCCCCCTTTGTTTATAGAACTTCATTGCAATTCATCTCCAAAACACCTGGCAGAACAGCATTTGATCCACTTTTACAGGGCCTTGGTAAATAACCTCTCCCCTCAGATAAGGTTCATGTGACGTTGCTGTAGACCTTGACTGAATTTCATAATTTTGTCTGACCCCAATTCCTTCAGGTTGCTCCATTGCCTTTTACAGACCTTAGCAATCAAGTTTCAGGAGCCCCTTTCTTCTAGCACATCTGCCCTAAATGCCAGTGGAGTCTAGGTTGGGCCATTGGGAGGGTGGGGGGCGAGGGGTAAACCACAAGTAAAATATTATTATCAAGTGCGTGTCATTTACTGCACTGTAATTTTGTACTATCACCATGGTCCCTGGCACAGTAATGGCTAGCACTGCATCCTGCTACTTGTGAAGGGAGCAAAGACTCCCACTTCTGACTTAAAAAATTCACTATCTTGATTGCCCCCCATGGTCATGCATGGTGAAAGCCACCCCAGAGGCCAGCAGAAGGACTATGTGTCTACCCTACTTAGAAAGAAGAACAGGAGGACTCGTGGCACCTTAGAGACTAACAAATTTATTTGAGTATAAACTTTCGTGAGCTACAGCTCACTTCATCGGATGCATGTAGTGAGCTGTAGCTCACGAAAGCTTATGCTCAAATAAATTGGTTAGTCTCTAAGGTGCCACAAGTCCTCCTGCTCTTTTTGTGAATACAGACTAACACGGCTGCTACTCTGAAACCTACCCCACTTAGCTCTTTCACCTGGGATGCACACACAAAAGGAGGCAAGTATGGCTGGAGCAGATTCATTTATGTATTTGAGCCAATACAAGAGGAAATTGCTCATTATCATAGTGAATGTGGAAAACCAGTCTTTGTGCTCATTTTCCATTAGCAATTTCCTTTGTAGAAGTTGCTGTGTAGATCCTCAGGTAGGTACACATTCTCCTCTCATCTTGTGCTCCAAAGGCCCTTAATTGCTTTGGTGACTCTTTGCTTTGACAATTCATTAAATTCAGCAGAATTCCTTGTCTTGAGTTATAGCTCCAAGGAAGAGATAACAATCTCCGGTGGCTCACTGGGCTCTTTGCAGTTCATTGAGAAGAATGATTGCACCTTGGTTCTAGAGAGCAGAGCGTGTAATGCCAGTACCATGCACGGGGTGGGTGTAGTTATGATAATTCTGCTCAATGAAATAAATTCAAGGGATGCCATGACTTCTTTCCATGTGGTTCCTGGGGGATTGCAGGTAGAGAGACATGCAAAGAACATATGCAGCTGCTTGAAAGGTAAAATGACCTCAATCTATCCAAGGTGAATGAGTTGCATTATTTTTGTAACTTACTGTGCCATCTATTTTCCATAGACGAAATGTGAGCACACAAAACACCCACACAGCAGCGATAACAGCCCAAGAAATACTGAATGATTAACACCACTCACTATTTCTCTGGCAAACCTTCTCCCTTGCTCTAGGCTGCAAGTTCCTTCAGGCAGGGATTCCATTTTCGTTTGAAATCAGTACAGTGTTGATTGTGCCCAATAAAAAATGCCGACCCTCAAGTCCTTTGGCCTTTAGAACAAAGGGAATAACCCACTTCTACTTCCACCAACCCTCCCCCAGTCACAGCACATTAAAAGAAAAAAAGAAGTCAAGTCCCTGCTACCTGGAGAGAAAGAGAGACGAACACATATTGCTAGGTGCATACTTCATGCATCTGTCTCCCAATCCCAGGAGCGATTGGTACCATGCCCAGAGTGTGGTACAGGTCTTGTTTCTCAGGGCTTCAGCTTTATTTCCTCCAAATAATACAAATTCAGCACAACAATCGTCCCTTCCCCATAAGCCAGGGTGTTCAGCAGGGGCCAACCATTCCCTGAAGGTTTCCTCTGTACAGGTCACTTGCCTAAGAGTCAGCCACAAACTGGGCTCTTTGCCCGTGGTGGTATGTGGCGCTGTGCCTTTAAGGGCTGAGCTTCCCCGCACAGCATCTTGGTGGGGCTCTGTGGCTCATGGTGGTGTTATCGCCATCAGCAGGAAGTGGACAGAGAACGAAGTGCAGCCATTGCATGCACCTTAAGCACTGAGTGATCACTGATCCCCACTCACCTGCTGACCCGGGGCCTTCCTGGCAGAGCAGCTGCTCCTGGCAGCTCTTCTCCCAGGCCTGCTCCAGACACTTGCCTGGGAGTTCGCCTGCCAAAGGAGCCAGCCTGCTTCCTGTAGCCGTCCCCCCCGCATCCAGGCCACTTGCTGGATTTTATCACTCCCGATCCCTAGCTGCTCAGTCTCAGCTGGGAGGTCGCTGAGCCCAGCTCCCCTGAAAGAGCCAGCTACCCTGTGACACCTTGAAGCTCTCAGCAAGGCGGTAGTCATTGTGTGGAGGGATGGCCTGAGGGGAAACTGGAGGAGGGAGCCCGTCCATCAACCCACTGGAAGAAAAGAGCTACCTCTTCTCAACAAGCTCTAGGGTGCAACTGACCTGTTTAGGGCTGAAGGGATTTCTCAGAGAACACGGCTATTCCCTCCCCTTCTGCCCGCCGCAGTGAGGTTTATTAGAGAGTGACTCAAGTCACTCGGGGTAGTTTAGTACCATGTCTGTTCCAATTTCTCAGGCTCCTTTAGCACGGGGAGTGTTACATGGGCCAGGCCTCTAGGCATGGTAGGGATCAAGAAATAAGACCTTGATAACTTATGTCTGTGGCTGGTGAGCCATGTTCTGGGTTATCTGTACCAACCAGGTGCCTGAGGGACTTTCCTGTATAGCTGCCTCCTAATACAAATATTCCCTTTGTTTATACAACTTCATTGCAATTTATAGTCGAGCTATCTTGGCAGAATATGCTGACTTGCTATATTTTAACTCTGGCTTGATCTGTAAATAATCTCTCCTGACTGATATGGAGATGGGGACATTTCTGTAGCCTTTGGCTAAGTTTCACTTGAACCCAGCGTCTCTCGTTGGTTTCTATAGACCACATCAATAAAGTTTTCAAGAGCCCCTTTCTTCTAGCAGATCAACAATCCAAAAACGATTTGAAATTTGCAACCCAGGCAAGGGAGAAAAAACATGTAGGGAAAGACTGCAGCCCCAGCTGGATGAATCACTGCCCCAAAAAGGTTAAAAGAAAAGGAGTACCTGTGGCACCTTAGAGACTAACAAATTTATAGAAGGAGTAAGCAGAGAGCATGTAGGGAATGGGAAAAAGGGGTTGATCAGCTAAGAAAGAGACATCATGGAGGTTAGCAAATGTAGGAATAAGGTGAGAAGTGCTAAAAGTCAAGCTGAATTAGCCCTTGCCGGGGAAATTAAAATAAATAATAAGGGTTTTTTTTAGTTTTATAAATAAAAAGAGAGTGATGAAGAATGAGGTTGGGCTGCTCTGCAGTGTGGATGGAAAGGAGATCAAAGATAATCTGGGTCTGGCCCAAAACCGAAATGAATATTTTGCCTTGGTTTTCAATGAGGATGATAATATGGAAAATGTCCATGAAGGCAGGACGGCTGATGGAAAGGAGTGTCTAGAAATGGAAATTACCACATCTGAGGTGGAAGAAAACGAAAAGAGCTTAATGCGCTCAAATCACAGGAACCAGATAACGTCCATCCCAGAATGCTGAAAGAACTGGCACATGAAATTGCTAGTCCAGTAGCAAAGATTTGTAATAAATCTACCTATTCAGGGCTAGTACCATATGACAGTAGAATCATAGAATATCAGGGTTGGAAGGGACCTCAGGAGGTCATCTAGTCCAACCCCCTGCTCGAAGTAGGACCAGTCCCCAACTAAATCATCCCAGCCAGGGCTTTGTCAAGCCAGGCCTTAAAAACCTCTAAGGAAGGAGATTCCACCACCTCCCTAGGTAACCCATTCCAGTGTTTCACCATCCTCCGAGGGGTTATGACTCCCAGGGTTATCTGCTATTTCTCCCTTCAACATTTCATGGCCATTGCGGGGGCCTCGGGCACTGGGGCACCTCAGTCCCTCCTGTTCTCTTCCTGTGGTACATAAGAGTCGAATCTCCTGTTGGCCGTAACGCTTTGGGCTCATGTCAGCTGTTGGGTTTAGGGTGTAGGGGCTGGGTGTTGTGGGTGGCCTGTGCTGTACAGGAGTCAAACAAGCGATCCGGTGGTCCCTTCCAGCCTAAATTCTGTGACTATCTGCACTACGTGCCATGAGAGTCTCAGTTTGCGCATTGGTTCTCCAAAGCTGAGCAGTTGAGTACAAGGTGGGGGACCCACTGGACCCACTTATGCTGGACCTTACTGGACCCACTTATGCTGGTGAGAGAGACATGCTTTCGAGCTCTTCTTCGGGTCTGGACTTTGATGATGTCTAACATGCAGAGCTGGGGTCTTATCTCAGAAAAGATGTGAGAACAAATAGCCACAACCAGTCCCCCTTCCCCATGCTTTCCCCCCAGACCACCAGCCCATCGGGTCACCACAACCAGAGTTTGCACCACAAACAAAGACTTCATTCTTCTCTGTGGAATAATTGCAGCTTTCTCTTAATGTTCAAGGCTACTCACTGACACCTCTAACTTTCTATTTTCTTTTCTTTTTTTTTCCTGATACAGGAAAACCTGTCTCAAGCGACTAATCAAAGGACCAGCCAAAATCAATTAGCTAGTAAAAGTGAATCATTAGCTCGAAGTCAAGACCTCAGTAAATATTGGCAGGCCTACTGTGCCAGTGACAGAATTGGGCTGTTTCGTAATCAAGTTGGATAGGCTGGTCTCTTGCACGAGTGTATATACATGTAGATATAAACATACACATGGTACATGATCATCATCGGTGGGGAGCACTAAGAGAGCATCACCTCAGCTGAGCACTAACAGATTCGACACACATTAAACCACCACCTCCTCTCCACCAGGAAAATGAAGGGGGTTTTTGTGCTTCTTTCTCTAGCAACATGGTGCTTTTCAGGTGAGTAATTCTTGCTGTACTGAGAGTCCTAGCCAGCTTCAAAAATATTAAGGTGTCTTCAAAGTGGAACATAGTCTCATTCTTAGAAGAGCTTTTTCTCTTCAAAAGATGGCACTGAAAAGACTTGATCTCCAGGGCCTAATATCCATACAGTCTTATTTCTGCACCCTCAGTTTTGTGGGTAGAAGTAACTGCAGGTTCAGTTTCACACCCGTAATTAAGTTGTGGGCACAGTGAAGGACATTAAATGTATAAGGGCCTGATACAAGGGCACAATCAGCTGTTAAGACATCAACTATTTATACTGAAGTATATTTTCAGTGATATCCTGTAGATCTCCATTTGGATCACGAAACACAGCCTGTAAAAAAGAAAAGAAAACCCCAACAAAACACCGTGTTACATTAAAAATAAGACACCTTATCCTCAATTACCAGCATGGTACCAAATTTCACACATGGTTTGTTTAGTTTAAGCATCTGTTCACTGACAGTCACTCGGTTAGAAACCGCATGGAATTATTCCATAAAAGAGATTCGCACACTTAAAACCTGTTCCTGTCAATTAGCTGGCTTTGTTTTATGATTCTCTCTGTGATTTTCTTTCAGCTGTTGCCCTGGGCAGTGAGGTGAGTGGCAGATCTTTCTATTTATTCTCTGTCACTTTCTCCAGATCTCTGACCTAAGATAAATGGTTGGTGACCACACTGTGGCCGAGTGAATGAAAAACACTGCAACCTGCGGCTGTTTGTATAATGGTCACCAAAGACATTATTGGGGGATTATTGTCTTTTTATCAGATAATTTCAACAAATATTTGAAATAATTCAAATATAATTATTTCAAATATTTAAACCCAGATAATTCTAGAACTGAATGATACGTTAAATAAACAATGTGATGAATATAAACAATAGACATATAATTTAGTGGAAGTGCGATATATATTTGACCAGCTCTGTGACAGTGAGAATAGTTGGGTGGTTCGTCAAGCTGCATAGTTACCCCAGTGTTTTATATCTGGAAGAGTAAAACCTTGAGATTCAGGTATTCTGTTTCCAAACAGTCAGACTGATGGAATTTCATTATTATATTTATTATTTTACCTAATACAACCTCTGCTTAGACCTTGTGAGGTACTTAAAACAACATGTAGCCACAGCATTGGAGAAACTATGAAAAAAATCACAAGGAGGGACTAGATCTTTAGTAAATTGATGTCTCTTGATGTTAGTACAGCCACATCAATTTACACCTGCAGGGAATCTGGCCTAAGGGTTTGTTTGATTTTTGATATTGCACACATTGGAACAATAAGATTTGGTAGCATCTCTCTCTGCACATGTTGCATGCTGAAACAAATTTCTAGCCTCATTTAACCCTCTGGAAAGCATGTTTCAAAAATTCATTAGATTTTGCAGCTTCAGTTTAAGGCTCCATTTGTAATAACTCCTTAGTTTCAGTAGGGCATGGTTGCTTCCCACAGAATACAGGTCTGAGTGAATGACTCTTTGTCCAGCTGTGCATTCCTTCCTCCAGCATGAGAGAAAGCTACTGCAGAACAGACTCATGGATGGAAGAATAAGGTTAAAATATAGCCCTACTTTGCCTTATGGCAGAAGCTAAAAAGGCTGGAGGCACAGAGTGGGGAGATTACTCATGGGCACTATTTCATATTTAAATGGCTGCACCACTTCTATTGCTTGACATTGCTATTACAGGTAGACTGTAGTAAGTACCCCCGGGGTACTGCTGAGGATGGCAAAGTATTGACAGCCTGCCCATTTATCCTGGCTGAAGTCTGTGGCACGGATGGCGTCACTTACCCCAGCGAATGTGCACTGTGCGCACACAATTCGTAAGTACTGTACAGAGAACATTCCTTCCAAGTAACTAACAATGAACAAAAAGAACAGGAGGACTTGTGGCATCTTAGAGACTAACAAATTTATTTGAGCATAAGCTTTCGTGAGCCACAGCTCACTTCATCGGATGCATTCAGTGGAAAATCTCCCCGCTATATTTTCCATTGAATGCATCCGATGAAGAGAGCTGTAGCTCACAAAAGCTTATGCTCAAATAAATTTGTTAGTCTCTAAGATGCCACAAGTCCTCCTTTTCTTTTTGCGGATACAGACTAACATGGCTGCTACTCTGAAACCTAACAATGAACAGAGCATCTGATGACAGCCTTTGGAAATACCATCATTTCTTCAGGCCTGTTCCTGTAAGTCTCTTAGGCCCTGTCCCTATTTTTTTTGCCCTGTTAGAGTACCCTGAGTTTCCTCTCCTTTCCCCTATATGTGCTTAGCTGAGGGATCATGGAAGAGCCAGACTACAGCATCCCAAGGGAGCTGTGTGCTGACGGAGCAGAGGAAAGAATGGGCCATGGTATTCTGCTAAATGATACACTATAAGGAGATGTCACATGTCTGGTAACTAAAAGAATGATACGGTGTGGTGTTGTTGTAACCGTGTCGGTCCCAGGACATTAGAGAGACAAGGTGCGTGAGGTCATATTGTCTACTGGACCAACTTCGCTGGTGAGAGAGACGAGCTTTTGAGCTTACACAGAGAGCTTCTTCTTCTGCAGACCTGAAGAGCAGCTCAGTGTCGCGCGAAAGCTTGCCTCTCTCACCAACAGACGTTGTTCCAATAAAAGATATCCCCCCCCCCCCGCCTTGTCTCTAGAACTATGCTAGCCAGTGATGCTGATACTGCCCCATGGAAGGTGATAAATTAACTCCAATAGACCCCTCCTGTATCCCACACAGTACGTGTGAATCCGGTTTGTTTTACCAGCACCTTGACTGTAATGTGGAGAGTTACTTACTGAGCTCCTTAACCCCAATCTCCCTCTTCCAAAGAGCATGGGACCAATGTTAGCAAAAAGTATGATGGAAAATGTCAACAGAAAATTGTGCTGGTAAGTGTAATCTGATGTACAGTAGAGGCTAGATCCTGCTCCCAGTAATGTCAACAGAAAGACTCCTTTTGCCCTCAGTCAGTGAGAGATGGTTTGGGCGCTAAATAGATGGCCCTAAGTGGTACCTAGACCATGTACTGTCCTTTTTCATAGGGGTGATCTTCAACCTAAATAAACAAAATGGCCATTTTCCATCTATTACACTCTAACGTCATAAGAAAGGGCAAGAGAAGAGGAATAGGGCCTGAGACAAGAAGCAGAAATATCCCAGTGCTGCAGAATTGTGCACACAATTCCTGTTCCCATAGCTGTCTCTTCTCACAGTAACAGGAGAAGCACCAAGCAGCCTGATTTAGGGCTATAGGAAGAGGAGACACAAGACTCCTGTATATATCAGTACATTGACTTCTTTGGATCCTGGGATTTTCCAAGATCATACATTGGGAAGGCTGGAAAACACCCCATTTTCTGATCACAGGCAGGGCATTCAAAATACCCTTACTTGTCTCCCCAAACTCAGAAATAATTTCATGAATATGAGCCATAAGCAGACATGTTATTTGGTGACTTTATTTTTTTGCGTATTTGACTAGCTCTAAACCAATGCGAATAGTTTGGGCATCAAGAAACAAAACTACCCCAGGGCCATATGCTGGAGAAGGTAAAGCCCTGGGATCCAGATGCTTCATTTCTACCCAGCCAGCCTAATCAAATTCCATCTTCAGTTTCCCTGATATACTCCGTGCCTAGCCTGGGTGGGATACAGAAGGCGCAACCCTGGAGAAACTATGCAACAATAACTGAGGGGGGCATATCTTCAGCCAGTGTAAATTGACCTCTATCGATATCGTAGAGGCCTATGTAATTACAGCAGCTGAGACTAGAGGGTCAGGTTTTTTATATTTTACACACAGAAAGAAACAACGAGATCCGGAAGCCAGGTTCTAAACATTTTGCATGGGCCACAACAAATTCTCAGCCTCATTTAACCATCTGGAGCCTCATTTAACTGTGAGCCATAATAAATAACTTACTAGATTTTGATATTGAGGCTTTGTTTTAAGGATCCACTCCTAGTACCATGTTAGACTTAACAGGGCTTGGGAACCTCACACAGAACAGGAGTCTGAGTGAGTGATTGATCCTTCCTCCCACGTGTGCATTTCTGCCTCTCCAACACGAGAGAAAGCTCCGGCAGACCTGCCTCTCCCCATTTCCAAGGGAAGCATAAGGGTACACGAGAACCCTCGTACCAAGGCTGGAAGCGCAGGGCGGGCGGCTGGCCAGAAGCACTGTTTGGGTAACAAAGGCTGCACCGGTACTGTCACTGTGTTGCTGTTACAGTTTGATCGCAGTCAGCACCCCAGGGCTGTTGATGAGGATGGCAAAGTCCTGACGCGCTGCCCTAGGATCCTGGCTGAGGTCTGCCGCACAGATGGCGTCACTTCTCTCAGACAACATTCCTTCCGAGCATTTAACAATAGGCAGAGCCACTGAGAACAGCCTTTAAAATACCATCATTTCCTCTTAGGCCTATTTCTGTAGGTCACTAAACCCCTTGCCCTCCTCTTTGCCCCTATAGTCCACCCTGATTTTCCTCTCCAGGCCCCTATATGTGCTTAGCTGAGCTATCCTAGAAGAGCCAGACTACCGTCCCCAATTGTAGCAGGGGGCTCAGTGGTGACTGAACAGAGGAAAGAATGGACCAGAGTGTTTTTCCAGATGATACACCATAAGGAGACATCACTTGTCTGATAACCAATAGGATTACGCTAATCAGTGATGCTAAAATGTGATCAGCTGACTCAGTCAGGCACCTCCTGTATCCCACACAGTATGTGTGAGTTTGGTTAATTTTACCAGCATCTTCAGGGTTACAGGGAGAGTAACTCACTGATCTCCTTAACTCCCATCTCTCCCTCTTCCAGCGAACATCAGAAAAACGTTATAAAAAAACATGATGGAAAATGTGAACAGGAAATTGCCAAGCTCCTGAAAACAGCCTTTATAAATATCTTTCATAGCCTGTTTCTGGAGGTCTCTTAGCTCTTGACCCTACTTCTTTATCCATTTAATCTGCCTTGAGTTTTCTCTCCTGACCCTGCATTGGCTCACTGGGGAAACATGGAACGGACAAATGACGCCCCCCCTTACCCCCCGAATGCAGCAGGGGGCTAAGTGATGATTGAACAAAGAAAAGAAAGGGCCAGAATGTTACTCCAAATGATACAATAGAAAGAGACGTCACATATCTGGTAAAGAATAGGATTATACTGGACTCAGTGTTGCTGGTACTGCCTTGTAGAAGGAGATAAACTAATTGAATCAGATGCCACCTGTTTCCCCCCCCCCCCCCACAGTATATGGGAGATTGGTTCATTCTACCACTGCCCTGAGTGTAGCAGGGAGAGTTACCCACTGAGCTCCCTAATTCCAGTCTCTTCTCTTCCAGAGAACATGGGACCAATGTTAGCAAAAAGCACGATGGGAAATGCAAACAGGAAATTGTGCCGGTAAGTGAAACCTGATGCACAAGAAGGGCCAAATTCTAATCCCACTGATGTCAACAGAAAGACTCCTCTTGATGTCAGTGAGAGATGGGTCAGACACCACATGCCTAGACTAAATGGAGCATAGACTTTGTACTGGCCTTCTGCAAAGGACTGAATTTCAGTCCAATGACACGAAATGGCCATTATCTATACTCTATGCTACAGTGTCAGAAGAAAGAAAGAGGGCTAGAAAAGGAGTAGGGTTTGCGACAAGGAGCAAAAATGCCCCCGTTCTCTGGGAACGTCCACATAAATTCCTTTCCCATAGCAGCCTCTTCTCAGAGTATCAGGCTAAGCGCTGAGTGGCCAGTTTCAGGACTATGGGAAGGAAACACACAAGACCCCTGTATATTTCAGTGCATTCGTCTCATGGATACTGGGATTTTCCTTGATAATACACTGGGCAGGTTGCAACCACCTCATGTTCTGATCCTAGGCACAGCACCCATTCAACTGCAGTTAATAGAAATACATCTAATTAGAGCTGCTGAGGATCTAGCCTGAGGGGTTTTTTATATAATTTATAGAATAAAACAACAAGATCTGGAAGAATATTTCTTTCTACACGTTGGGCATGGGCTGAAACAAATTCTTAGCATCATTTAACTCTCCGGAGACTGGATCAGAAATGAAAAGATTTTGATTCTGAGGCATTGGTTAATGTTCCCTTTGCAATACCTAGTTAGTTTCAACAGGGCATGGATGCCTCACAAAGAATACACATCTGCAGGACTGCTGAAAGGGGGAGGCCAAAGGAGCACTTTGCCTTGAGTCCCCCATTTGAGAAGGTCCCAAACTGTGTGGCTTTGCCACATGGCTCAAGGTCTTACGGTGCTGCCCAGGTTTGGCCCAGCTGCCCCTCTATCATGCTGGAGTGATGGCTGGGCCAGACCAAAGCAGTGCTGAGACCCCTGAGCCAGGCCCAGAGCCACAGGACTGGAGCCACTCCTGCGGAGTGAGCGTGGGTGGACTCACTCTCCATGATCTTCCCCCCTGTGGTCATTTTTTGGAAGGGTGGGGGCCTCAGTTTCACATTTTGCCCCTGGCCTACAAAAACCTCTGCGCAGCCCTGCAAGTCTGAGGAACTGATTCTTCCTCCCATCCACGACTTCCTTCCCCTCCAGCACGAGAGAACACGAGTAAATTCCTGCAGAACGACTCCCCCCATTGCCAAGGGAAGAATATGTTCAAAATAGGGCCCTTGTGCATCTGGTGGCTGAAGGGACAGAGGCTGAAGGCCCCGGGTGGGGGAATCGCTCTGAAGCACTATTTCATACAACAGCAGCCGCACCGGCGCGATTTCTGTGTTGCTTTTACAGCTTGACTGTGGTCAGTACCCCAGGATTAAAGCTGAGGATGGCAAAGTTCTGATAGGCTGCCCAAGGATCCTGGCTGAGGTCTGTGGCACAGATGGCGTCACTTACCCGAATGAATGTATGCTGTGTGCCCATAACCTGTGAGTACTTTACACAGAACATTCCTTCGGAGTACTTCCTGGGCAGAGCTCCTGAGAACAGCCTTTATAGACACCATCATTTCTTCATAGGCCTATTTCTGTAGGCCTTTTAGCCCCGGCCCCATTCTTTGCCCCTCCAATGTACTCTGACTTTTCTCCTCTGCTTCCCACTACTCCCACTAACCCCCACTCCCACCATATATCCCACCAGGATATCATTAAAGAGGCAGGCTACAAAGCTAGACTAACTGGTCTATAATTCCCCAGGTCCTCTTTCTTTCCATTTGTAAAGATAGGCACTCTGTTTCCTCTTCTCAGTCCTCTGGGACCTTGGCCCTCCACCATGAGTTCTTGACAGTAATCAGTAATGGTTCAGAGACTCCTTCAGTTAGTTCCTTACTAAATTTCATCAGCCCTGCCAACATGAATACATCTAACTTATCTAAATATTCTGGGCTGTCCCTATTCTGTCTTGTGTTCTTTCCCTCTTTTTGTTCATATTGATTGTGAAGCATCTGGTCACAATTAACCCTTTTAGTGAAGACTGTATCATACACTATAAGGAGAAGTCACATGTCTGGTAACTTATGGGAAGATACAAGTTGTTGACACTCATACTGCCTCATAGAAGGTGATAAATTAACTCAGTAAGACACTGCCTGTATCCCATACAATATATGTGAGATTGCACCATTTTACCGGCTCTTGAGTGTAACAGGTACAGTTACTCACCGAGCTCCCTAACTCCAGTTTCTCCCTCTTCCAGAGAACACGGGGAAAACATTAACAAAAAGCATGATGGAGAATGCAAACATGAAATCGGCCTGGTAAGTGTAACCTGAAGCAAAATTACAGCCAGATCCTACTCCCATTGATGTCAATGGACAGAATCCTGTTGACTTCAATGAGAGCTGGTTCAGGCATTGTATGAATGGACTCATGGGGTGTGTCTTGCCTTATACACAGGGCTGGATTTCATCCTAAATACACAAAATGGCCATTCTCCATATACTACAGTATTACCTCATAACAAAAGGAGATAGAAGAGGAGCAACATATGAGACAAGTAGCAGAAATATCCCAGTGCTGCAGAATTGTGCACTTAACACCTGTTCCCATAGAAGTCTCTTCTCATAATAGCAGGCTAAGCACTGAGCAGCCTGATTTAGGACCATGGGAAGGGGAGACACAAGACCTCTGTATATATCAATGCTTTGACCTCTTTGGATACTAGGGTTTTCCAAGATCGTACACTGAGAAGGTTGGAAAACACCCCGATTTCTGCTCCCAGGCAGGGCACCCTGTGTGCAGCGGGATTCCAAACACCCCGGCTGTTGTCCATAACCATAAAAATAATTTGATGAATAGCAGCAATAATCATTCCAAATCATTGGATTCAAGTATCTTTTATGTATTTGTCCATCTCTAAACCAAAGGGATTAGTCAGGGCCATCAAGAAGTTAAATGACCCCCATGCCATCAATCTGAAAGAGTAAAACCCTGGGATTCAGCTCTTCCAATTTCCTAGTCAGAGGGATGGAATTTCATTTTTTCTGTTACCCTACACAGTCTGTGCTTAGACCGTGTGTGGTTCACAGAGCAACAGCCAGACTCTTTGTTGGAGAAAACATGAACAAATAACACAGAGGGGACAGCTGGGGTGAATCGATTTACACACGCAGAGGAGCTGGCCTGAGGGTTTCTATATGGTGCAGATTGGAACAGCAAGATCTCGAAACCTTTTTGTCTCTGCATGTTTGGCTGGCATTGACACAAATTCTTAGCCCCATTTAACCCTCTGGAGACTGGATCATAAATGACAACTCCCTAGATTTTGAATATTGGGATATTGGTTTAAGGATCCACTTCTAATACCTAGTTACGTTCAATATACCGTGAGTGCCTCCCAGAAAATATGAGTCTGAGGGAATGATCCTTGCTCTCCAGCATGAGAGAAAACACCTAGAACCCACTCACCCGGTTTTCAATAGAAGAATAAATTTAACATTTAACCCTAGTTTGTATTGTGGGAGATGCTCTGAGGCCTGGAGGCCCAGAGTGGGGAGATTACTCATGGGCACTATTTCTTATAACAAAGGCCACACTGGTACTATTGATGTATTATTTTTACAGCTTAATTGTAGTGAGTACCACCGCGGCACAGTCCTGATATCCTGCCCAAGGATCCTGGCTGAGGTCTGTGGCACAGATGGCATCACTTACCCCAATGATTGTATGCTCTGTGCCCATAACTTGTAAGTACTGTACATCACCCATTCTTTCTGAGTAATTAACAATGGGCAGAGCTCCTGATTGTGGCCTGTATAAATATCCTCATTTCTCCATAGACGTGTTTCTATAATTCCCTTATACAGGGACCCTCCTCTCTGCCCATCCAGGGTACTCTGAGTTTCCTCCCCTTGTCCTGTCTGTGCTCAGTGGGGCTATCATGGAAGAGCCAGAGCACAACCCCCAGAATTCAGTAGTGGGATGACTGGTGCTTGGCCATTCAGGAAAGAATGGGCCAGAATATTATTCCAAATGATACACTGTAAGGAGGCGTCACATATCTGCTAACCAATAGCATTACACTAGTCAGAGATGTAGCTACTGCCCTGTAGCTGGTGATAATCTAACTCAGACGCTTCCTGGATCCCATCCAATCTATGGGAGTTTGGTTCATTTTACCAGTGCCTGGGGGGTGACAGGAAGAGTACTTCACTGAGCTCCCTCACGCCAGTCTTTCCCTCTTCCAGGGAACACCGGACCAGTGTTGGCAAAAAGCACGACGGCAGGTGCAAAGAGAAAACAGCTGCAGTAAGTGAAACCTGTTGCACAGTAAGTGGCCGAACCTCCTTCTATTCATACCAATGGAGCGACTCCAACCTATTTACTTCAGTGAGGGAAGGGTCACATACTATATGCATGGATTTAGGCGATGCATAGACCACGTGCTGCCTTAGTATCTAGGGATCAGTTTCACCCTAACAACGCCAAATGGCCATTATCCATATCCTGCAATATAAAAAGGGAGACCGAAGGTGAACCGGATCTGAGATAAGGAGCATAAAGGCCCTAGTGCTGCAGAACTGTGAAACAAACCCTATTCACGCAACAATCTCTTCTCCCAGTGTCAGGCGACGCGTTAACAGCCGGCTTTGGGACTGAGGAGAGGACACACAAGACCCCTGGTTTATATTCACCTTGGTGGATACTGGGATTTTCTGAGCTAATGAGTTGGGCAGGTAGTAAAAACCCCTGTGTTGTGACACCAGGCAGGGCAGTCTGAGTGCAGGAGGATTCAAAACATCCACTCTTGTTTTTGAGCAATAATCAGAACAAATCATTATTTTTTTACCTATTTGACAAGCTCTAAACCTGAGGGAATTGTTTGGGCCATCAAGAAGCAAAACAACCACAGTTCTAGATAATTGAAAGAGTAAAACCCTGGGATTCAGACACTCCATTTCCATACAGTCAGAATGAAGGAATTTCTGTCTTTTCTCTTTTTTTGTTACTATCTGTGCTTAGACCATATGAGGTACATAAAGTAACGTGCAGACACCACACCGGAGAAAGCATGAAAATTACCACCAAAGAGCCATATACTCATCTGTTGTAAATCAACTATCTAAATCAACTATCACTGCCATCAACAGAGCTAGGTCAATTTACAGCAGCTGAGAATCTGCCCCAGGTTTTCTTATATCATACAAATACAACAAATCTATCAGCATATTTCTTTCTGGATGTTCTGCATGAACTGAAACAAATTCTTATCATTTCTCTCTCTGGACACTGGATCATAACTGAAATCTCACTAGATTTTGAGTTCTGAGGCTTTGAGTAAATGCACCACTTGGAATACCTATGGGTGTGTCCCACAGAATACAGGTCTGAGTGAAGAAGCCTTCCTCCCAATTGTGCATTCCTTCCCCTCCAGCATGAGAGAAAACTACAGTAGCACTGTAGCCCTCTTTCCTGCGGAACAATAAGTTTTAAACATAACCCTAATCTCTCCTGTGATAAACACCAGAAAGGCTGGAGACACGGGGGGTGACTCATGGGGCACCATTTCATAGATCGAAGGATGCAACAATTCTATTGCTGTGTTACTTTCCCAGCCTGAGTGCACTTCACACCGCAGGGCTACTACTGACGATGGCAAAGTACTGCTCGTCTGTCCCAGGATCCTGGACCCAGTGTGTGCCACAGATGGGATCACTTATGCCAATGAATGCGAGATGTGTGCCCATAACCTGTAAGTACTGTACAGAGAGCATTTCTTCTGAGTGATTAACAAAGAGCCAAGCTCCTGAAAACAGCCTTTATAAATATCTTTCATAGCCTGTTTCTGGAGGTCTCTTAGCTCTTGACCCTACTTCTTTATCCATTTAATCTGCCTTGAGTTTTCTCTCCTGACCCTGCATTGGCTCACTGGGGAAACATGGAACGGCCAAATGACGCCCCCCCTTACCCCCCGAATGCAGCAGGGGGCTAAGTGATGATTGAACAAAGAAAAGAAAGGGCCAGAATGTTACTCCAAATGATACAATAGAAAGAGACGTCACATATCTGGTAAAGAATAGGATTATACTGGACTCAGTGTTGCTGGTACTGCCTTGTAGAAGGAGATAAACTAATTCAATCAGATGCCACCTGTTCCCCCCCCCCCCCCCACAGTATATGGGAGATTGGTTCATTCTACCACTGCCCTGAGTGTAGCAGGGAGAGTTACCCACTGAGCTCCCTAATTCCAGTCTCTTCTCTTCCAGAGAACATGGGACCAATGTTAGCAAAAAGCACGATGGGAAATGCAAACAGGAAGTTGTGCCGGTAAGTGTAACCTGATGCAAAACAAGGGCCAAACCCGACTCCCAGTAATGTCAGTGGAAAGACACCTCCTAACCTCAGCGAGAGATGGCTCAGACACAATACTCACGGATTCAAGTGGTGCCTAGAGTTTGTAGGGATCTTCTGCAAGGGGGTGAATTCACCCTAACTACATGAAATGGCCATTATCTATATACATCAGCGTACTGTCAGAAGAAAGAAAGAGGGATACAAGAGGAATGGGCTTTGAGATGATCCTGTGCTCTGGAAATATGAACAGATATCCCATTCCCATAGCAGTCTTCTCACAGTACCAGGCGAAGCACTGAGCGGCCAGTTTTAGGACTACAGGAAGGGGAGACACAAGTCCCCTGTATAGATTAGTGCATTCCTCTCCTTCGATACTGGGATTTCCAAGAAAATAAACTGGGCAGGTGAAAAAGCCCCTGTGTTCTGATCATTGTCAGGGCATCCTACATGCAGGGGGAATGAACAAATACAGAAATCATTGGATGAACATGACCACTAATAATAAAAAAAAGATTGGATTGATTTATTTTGTATAGGCTGACCAGCTCTAAACACAGCAATAGTTTGGCCATCAAGAAACAAAACAACCCCAGTGCTTTATATTTGAAGGAGCAAAACCCTGGGATTTAGATATGCCATTTCGATACAGTCAGATGGATGGCATTTTTTTTCCCTGGTACAATCTGTGCTTAGATGGTATGAGATACACAGAGCAACAGGCAGGCACCTTGTCGGAGAAACTATGAAAATATTACAACAAAGGGCTAAACTGACTCCCACTGAAGTGCACAGAGCTCCATCAATTTACACTAGCTGAGGCTCTCGCCTGAGGGTTTTTCATATTTTACAGAATGAAACAAGATCGGGTAGCATATTTCTCTCTCCCTGTTTTAATGGGCTGAACCAATTTCTTAGCCTCATTTAACCCCCTGGAAAATGGATCATAAATGAAAACTTATTAGACTTTTGAGGCTTTGGTTTAAAGCTGCACTTCTGATTCCTATTTAAGTTCAACAGGGCCTAGACTGAGTGAATGATCCTTTCTCCCACCTGGGCATTCCTTACCCTCCAGCATGAGAGAAGGGGAGAGAACTACTCACACCACATTCAATGGAAGAAGAAGTTTAAAGTATAACCCTCGTCTGCAGAAGCTACAACAGTTGGAGGCTCAGAGTGGGGAGGTGACTCGTGGGCACCACGGTGATTGCTTGACATTGCTGTTACAGGTGGATTGTAGTAAGTACCCCCGAGGAACTACTGAGGATGGCAAAGTTCTGACAGCCTGCCCACTCCTCCTGGCTGAGGTCTGTGGCACAGATGGCATCACTTACCCCAACGAATGCAGGCTGTGTGCCCATAACTCGTAAGTACTGTGCAGAGACCATTCCTTCTGAGTTACTCACAGTGGGCGGAGCTCCAGATACCAGCCTTAATAAAAACCAGAACTTCTTCATAGACCTCTTTCTGCCGATCTCTTAGCCCCTGGTCCTCTTCTTTGCCTCTCCAGTCTATTCTGAGTTTCCTCCCCCGCCCCTTGCATGTGCTCAGTTGGGCTATCATGGAGGGGACAGACTACCACCCCCAGAGTTCAACGGGGGGCTGAGTGGTGATTGAGCAGAGGAAAGAATGGGCCGGCATGTTATTCAAATGATACACTGTAAGGAGACATCACATGTCTAGTAACAGATAAGAATATACTGTTAAGAGATGCTTATCCTGCCTTGTCACAGGTGATAAGGCATCTGACTGAGATAGTTTCTGAATTCCAGACAGTATATGTGAGTTTGTGTCATTTTTATCAGCAGCTATGGTGTAACAGGATGAGCCTAAGCTCCTAACTTCAGTCTCTCCCTCTTCCAGGGAACATGGAACCAGTGTTACCAAGAAACACCATGGGAAATGCAAACAGGAAACTGCAATGGTAGGTGACACCAGATGCAAAAGAAGGACCAGATCCTACTTCCGTGGATGGCATTGGAAAGGCTCCCCTTGACTTCAGTGAGAGATGGTTCAGGCACTATCCACATTGCCCTCGTGTGGGTCTTCTTCCCAGGGATGAATTTCAGCTAGCTACACCAAATGGCCATTATCCATAAACCGCACTGAGATCAGGGGAAAGGAGGGGAGAGAGGAGAGGAATGGGATATGAGCTCAGCAGCAGCAATGCCCCAGTGCTGCAGAAATGTGAACTTCCCCATAGCATCTCTTCTCACAGTATCAGGCTAAGCTCCGAGCAGCCTGATTTAGGACCATGGGAAGGGGAGACACAGGACCCCTGTATATATCAACACAGTGACCTCTTTGGATACTGGGATTTTCCAAGACAATACACTGGGCAAGTTGGAAAGTCCCATATGTTCTGATCACAAGCAGGGCACCCTGTGTAGAGGGCATTCTAAACGCCTGCTGTTACCCTCGTACATGTGGTCAGCAGATGTTGCTTAGGTCAAAGTGGGAGAACAAGCTTTATTTTTATAGTAACTCCTCCCAGCAGGGAGAGGCGAGTGGATAAGTCAGTTATCAGATTCTTAGATGGCAAAGTGAATTTTTTTAGTGCAGCAATAGATTATTATTGCTGTAGCACCCAAAGCCCCATTTGTTGCTACGTGCTTTACAAACATGCTGTTCCTCTTCTGCGTGCAGGTTGACTGCAGTGATTACGTTACACCCAGCTCCAGCTGCACGCAGGAGTACATACCCCATTGCGGCTCTGATGACAAAACCTACGGCAACAAATGTCTATTCTGCAGTGCAGTTGCGTACGTACAGAACTAAATCTCTTCTTCTAAATAATTAAAGTGATTAATCAATCTATCTATCTGTAAGAGGCATAAGTAAAGTTCCCATACTTCACATTTGCCTGTTTCCTTATGTATGTGGTCATGTTGATTTTGACAGAAGCGGATCTCCAGATGTCACGAACTGCAGATCTGCAATGAGTTTTACCTGTTTGGCCTAGAGTTTCAGTATGTCATGAAAAATATTTCACAAACGCTTCTTGTTCCTGATGAAGGAGCGAAATCTTTCACTTTTCTTTGAATGCTAAGCATGGATGGAAATAGCTGTTGAGATTCTATTACTTTGAATGGTCTGCCATGCTGTGCTAAGTCCCTATCAGAGACTTCCAGCGCTACTCGAATGAAGAGACCTATATTAGCATCCTGCGTGCTCCATCTCTGATCCAGTTTTCTCTCTCTTCCCCTCCAGGGAAAGCAATGGGACTCTCACCTTGAGCCATTTTGGAGAATGTTGAATCCTCAGAGGTGCTGAGCCCTGAGAGAGAGCCCTCCTTTGCTTCACTTCCCATTGGCAGAGCCTTCATAAAGACCCATCCTCAGCACAGCCGGCATCCTGGGGGCTCTTGATTTCTCCTGAGTTTCTTGTTCAATAAAACAAAACTCACCAGCATTTCTTTGTCCTGTTTTATCACCGTGTCACATACCACGTTTCTTTCCGGGTTGTTGAGTGACGATGCCAGAGAGAACAGAAAGTGTGAATCTGTGCTAGAAATGGATTGTTTGTTTGACGTTCTACTCCCTCTAGGATGTAACTTCCAGAGAGGCAGCTACTTCCTTCCATCAGTGTCATACGGGATAGCCGGAAAATGTAGCCACATCAAATACATTGTCTCATGATTTTACATGGAATTTAACCTCAAGCTACAAAGGTAACAGGATCACAATACTGTAGTGAGCTCATGCAGACATCTGACATCTTCTTTGTGTTCAGCCTCATAGCTATATACATGAAATTATAACCTATAACCTTACTATAACATTCCTGTAACAATTACTATAACCTCCCTATAACAACCATGCTCAGTGCATTATGAGCCTTCCGAAGACATCCAACATGACAAACTTTGCATTGGATACCACACAATCATTTTATAAAGATGAAGGTGGGGGTGTAGGGTGTTCACCCAAGGTACAGAGCAATACAATAATATGGTTGGATGATCTGCACACCTGCATGTGTGTGTATATATATATATGTGTGTGTGTGTGTGTGTGTGTGTGAGTTGCACCTGTGGAGAAACACAAAAAGATTAACTCCCGAGCTGAGCACTACCAGACTCACCACAGACCAAACCACCACCTCCACTGTGAACGCAACAAGGTGTCTTTGTGCTTTTCACTCTGGCACTTTCCTGCTTCTCAGGTGAATAAGTCCTGCAGTATTGCACAGCCCTGGGTCTGACATTCTCTGCCTCTGGATGATTTGGGCTGGGCCCTGGGTCTCTTCAGAAACATTACAGTGTTCTCAAAGCGGAGGAACATCTCTCCCTGTGAAGAGCTATTTTGTCTCAGAAAGATGGCACTGACAAGACTTGACATCCAGAAAGCCTTTGACAAGGTCCCTCAGCAAAGGCTCTTATGCAAAGTAAGCTGCCATGGGATAAGAAGGAAGGTCCTCTCAGAGCCCCCTCCCACCCCACAATGTTCCTCAGACGTTCTTGTCAACTGCTGGAAATGGCCCACCTTGATTATCACTACAAAAGGTCCCCCCTGCTCTCCTGCTGGTAATAGCTCACCTTAAGTGATCACTCTGGTTACAGTTTTCAGAGGAACAGCCGTGTTAGTCTGTATTCGCAAAAAGAAAAGGAGTACTTGTGGCACCTTAGAGACTAACCAATTTATTTGAGCATGAGCTTTCGTGAGCTACAGCATGGTAACACCCATTGTTTCATGCTCTCTATGTATATAAATCTCCCCACTGTATTTTCCACTGAATGCATCCAATGAAGTGAGCTGTAGCTCATGAAAGCTTATGCTGAAATAAATTTGTTAGTCTCTAAGGTGCCACAAGTCCTCCTGTTCTTTTTGCGAAGACAGACTAACACGGCTGTTACTCTGAAACCAAAAAGAAAAGGAGTACTTGTGGCATCTTAGAGACTAACCAATTTATTTGAGCATAAGCTTTCGTGAGCTACAGCTCACTTCATCGGATGCAGCGGCAGTCAAAAAAGTGAACAGAATGCTGGGGGTAATTAAGAAAGGGATAAATAATAGGTCAGAAAATATCATATTGCCTCTATATAAATCCATGGTATGCCCACATCTTGAATACTGCGTGCAGATGTGGTCGCCCCATCCCAAAAAAGATATACTGAAATTGGAAAAGGTTCAGAAAAGGGCAACAAATATTATTCCGCATATGGAACGGCTTCCATATGAGGAGAGAATAATAAGACGGAGACTTTTCAGCTTGGAAAAGAGACGGTTAAGGGGAGATATGTTTGAGGTCTATAAAATCATGACTGGTGTAGAGAAAGTAGATAAGGAAGTGTCGTTTACTATTTCTCATAACACAAGAACGAGGGGTCACCAAATGAAATTAATAGGCAGCAGGTTTAAAACAAATAAAAGGAAGTATTTTTTCACACAATGCACAGTTAACCTGTGGAACTCCTTGCCAGAGGATGTTGTGAAGGCCAAGACCATAAGAAGGGTGCAAAAAAGAACTAGATAAATTCAGGGAGGATAGGTCCATCAATGGCTATTAGCCAGGATGGGCAGGGATGGTGTCCCTAGTCTCTGTTTGCCAGAAGCTGGGAATGAGTGACAGGGGCTGGATCACTTGATTATTTCCTGTTTTGTTCATTCCCTCTGGGGCACCTGGCACAGGTCACTGTTGGAAGACAAAAAGAAAAGGAGTACTTGTGGCACCTTAGAGACTAACCAATTTATTTGAGCATGAGCTTTCGTGAGCTACAGCTCACTTGATCGGATGCATACTGTGGAAACTGCAGAAGACATTATATACACACAGAGACCATGAAACAATACCTCCTCCCACTCCACTGTCCTGCTGGTAATAGCTTATCTAAAGTGATCATCAAGTTGGGCCATTTCCAGCACAAATCCAGGTTTTCTCACCCTCCGCCCCACCACACACAAACTCACTCTCCTGCTGGTAATAGCCCATCCAAAGTGACCACTCTCTTCACAATGTGTATGATAATCAAGGTGGGCCATTTCCTGCACAAATCCAGGTTCTCTCACTTCCTCACCCCCCTCCCAAAAACCACACACACAAACTCACTCTCCTGCTGGTAATAGCTTATCCAAAGTGACCACTCTCCCTACAATGTGCATGATAATCAAGGTGGGCCATTTCCAGCACAAATCCAGGTTTTCTCACCCCCCCACCCCCATACACACACAAACTCACTCTCCTGCTGGTAATAGCTTATCTAAAGTGATCATCAAGTTGGGCCATTTCCAGCACAAAATCCAGGTTTTCTCACCCTCCACCCCCCCCCACACACAAACTCACTCTCCTGCTGGTAATAGCCCATCCAAAGTGACCACTCTCTTCACAATGTGTATGATAATCAAGGTGGAAGACAGGATACTGTGCTAGATGGACCCTTGGTCTGACTCAGTAGGGCCATTCTTATGTTCTTAATTTCAGCACAGACTTAAATGGGCTATTATTTTTGCACCCACAGTTTTGTGGGTTCAAATAACTGCAGGTGCAGTTCCACACCCATAATTAGTTGTGGGCACAATCATAGAGTCATAGGAGTGGAAGGGACCTTGAAAGGTCATCTAGTCCAGTCCCCTGCACTCCTGGCAGGACTAAGTATTATCTAGACCATCCCTGACAGGTGATTGGAAATTTTAAAGAGAAAGTTAAACAATGATGGAGATTCCACAACCTGTCTAGGCAATTTATTCCAGTGCTTAACCACCCTGACAGGAACTGGGTATCTGGGTGCTGGAGACAGGAGCACTTCTTAAGCTGTTTTCACTTTAGTCTGCAGCTTTGGGGGACAGGGTTCGAACCTGGGTCTGTGTCTACAGCAGGCTAGTGTGTCTGGTTTAACAAGGCAGGGTTCTGGAGTCCCAAGCTGGCAGGGAAAATAGGCTCAGAGGTAGTAGTCTCAGCATATCAGGTGGCAATCCCAAGGGGGTCTCTGTGACCCAACCTGTCACAGCCTCATTTAACCCTCTGGAGAGTGAAGAATAATGGAAAACTCATCAGATTTTGAGTTGTGGTTTCAATCTAGTAACTTTCAACAGTGTCTGGGTGTCTCAGACAGAATACCAGTCTGAGGGAATGGTCCTTCCTCCCTGCGCAGCATCCCTTGCTCTCCCGCGGGAAAAAAGTAGGGCGTATGCTGTGTGCCCATAACTTGGTCAGTTCTGTTTATAGAACATCCTAAATCTCCTGAGGCCCAGTCCTGCACTTTCACTGCAAGACCCTCCTTCCTCATTAGTCAACTTTTCAAACCAGGGCCCAGAGAAATATTCATTCTATCCCTCCTCTCTGCCAGGCCATGAAGCCCTGCACCCCCTTTCCTCACGAGCCCCAGGGAACAATTTGCACACCTAGCCCACTGTCCTTAGCAGATAGAAGTTAGAGCCTAGAGTAGTTTTCAGATAAACATTTCCTTGTCCGTCACTGAGCAGGATGCATTCCTTAGTGCTTGGGGCAGCCCCACCCCCAGCCACCGCTGCTCCCCGGCTCCAAAAACAACATCAGAGGGTGTTTTCACAATCACAGTGGCCAGTGTCTATGTGTGTGCGTGAGCTCCGTTGGCGTGCATTGTTACGGCACACGCAGCTCTAACAGACTGAACGCCGGGCTAACCAGCCACCTCCACCATGAAAATCGCAGGTGTCTTTGTCCTCCTCACTCTGGCCCTTCTCTGCTGCTTCTCAGGCGAGTCGCTTTCACTGTAGCTGGTAGAAAGTCCCGTGTGACGCTCTGAACACTGGAAATCACGACTGATAACAGGAAAGGCTCAGTGTCACCACGGTATTCAATTATATTGTTCATTAGCAATCACTGACATCCTGGCAGCAGTGTGCAAGGCACAGTCCCGGAACCAAGTATGTACCAATCTTAATGGGCCCTGCTCCCTTTATAAGGATTGGGAAGTTAGTAGAATTGGAGAAGTGGCTCAGTCTAATGGGAGCTGATTTCTTCCTAAGAGATATTACTGCTGACCCTGGACAGTGGACTCCCTGCACTGTAACGTCCCTGAGTTGTCCCAATTGACCTAGTGGAGGGGGGACTCTGGTACTTGTAGTTTGAAAGGAAATTCCAGCAGCATAAGCAGTTTTCCATGATTGGAGGGGACAGCGGGCTACCCCAATGGGAGGAAGTGGGGATGGTGCTGGCTCTGTAGCCTCCCAGGTGCATTGTGGAGCAGCGGTGGGTCTGGCTGTTCCGACAGCCACTCTGCACAGAATTCCTCCTGCCCCCCCCCGCCCCCCCAAGGAGTAAGCAGAGTAAAGGAATGCCATCCCAGTTAGCTTACACTGCTCAGGGGTCCTCTCCACGATCCAAACCTCCCTGGGGGGGTGGGGGGTGTTTCAGGGCGAGGAAGATGAGCAAGCCTGGGAGGAGGACACTTGAAGAAGCCATGCTGGCAGGGGAGCTGAAGGGCCTGGGAAGCAGGACAGAGGTGCTGGGACTCTGCAAGTTTCCAAAGATCAGCACAGACCTCAGGTGCCCCATGTCATTTCCACTGAGCAGGGCAAAGCATGGGGCAATTCCAATGAAAGTCTGTGAGTGGAAACTCCTGGGGCCGGATTCTGCTCTTCGGTCCCGTGGTCTGTGCCATTACCCAGCTGTCAATGAGAGCAGAGTCTGGCTCTCTGGAGGTTTCTCCCATGGGAAGGGTGAGCGGCTCCTCAGATTTCAGACGTGCCAACACTATTTTGAAACGTCTTGTTTGAAATGCATTTTGTTTGCTGATCAGTAGGACCCAGAAAAATCTGCTATGCTAAATCATCAAAAGTTCTCTTGCTATTCACTAATCTAGCTCCCTCCAGGGCCACTAGTACAGGAAACATTCGGTCTGTCTGGGCGTTTTATGCCACACTCATCACAACAGTAGCTTGTCTGTCATTCCCTAATATTTCCCAGGTTAGAAAACTCCATTCAGTTATTCTGCAAACCAGTTAGCACATGATATGTAATTATCTCAGTCCTTCTGCATCCTTTTATATTTCTGCTTCTGTTTTGGTTCCAGATATTGCTAGCCAAAACAGGAATCAGGTTAGTCCAGTTCTTTCTGTTCATTTCTTATCACTTTATTCTGATGCTTTATTATGGATAAATGGTTCCTAACCACACTGTTCCCAAGATCTAGGTGTTGGAAAAATCAGTGAAATCAATAGCAAAAGGAAAATTGCCCAAAGTCCTTATGGTTAAGAGTTAGGCATATCAAAAAACAGAGCCACCTCAGTAATACAGCACAGAGAGAGTAAACCCCAGCGATTCAGACTGAGTCATGCTAATTATACTGGCTGAGGTTCTGGCCCATGGTTTCCAGACAGTCAGACTAGTGAACGCCAGACATCGCTGCATGATATGGCATAATGTGTGGTTAGATTGTGAAAGATATAGAGAGCAGCGGGGCAGCTAAAGTGCACTGAACAAACATTGTGCAACCGTGTGCTTGGGCAGCATTAAAAGAGCTTTGAATCATAGAATCGTAGAATATCAGGGTTGGAAGGGAACTCAGGAGGTCATCTAGTCCAACCCCCTGCTCAAAGCAGGACCAATCCCCAACTAAATCATCCCAGCCGGGGCTTTGACCTGCTCTGTGTTCTTAAAAAGAACAGGAGCACTTGGGGCAGCTTAGAGACTAACAGGTTCTTAGTCAAGTTTCCCAAGACAAGTGTAGCCCTGCCGCCTAGTGCGTGTGTCCAGGGCACATTTCATTCAATGATTTTGTAGACTGGCGTGGAGCACTTTTTAAAACACTTGCTGACTGTGCATTGGGATCATATTGTCTAGATGCACCATCGGGAATATTGGCATTGGACTATTGCAGGCTCGTGACGTACTGCCATACAATCATCGCCATTATTTCAAACCTGCCTTTATTTCCAGACATCCCAAAAGTATATGTCCTCTCTGAGGGGGGAGAGTCTCTTGCAACTGTGAAATTTTAAAATGAGGAGGGTTGAATTTTCCAAGAGCAAATAAAGTGTCTGAAAAATGCTTATTTTAACCTTCTGAGAACTCAGATTAGCAGTACAGGTTTCTATGAAACGTTCCAAAATTAAACAATTCCTTTCTGCTGTGAGACTGGCCATGAACATGTCTGTTGCCAAAGGTATTTTATTTAGAAATGTATACACCTCTGAAAATGGGGGGTTGGAATGAAAATGGTACCAAAAATGCAGACACCCTAGTATTCAGAAGTGGCTGGGATGGCTTTCCCTGTATCTACCTCACATCTCTACTTAACCCGACGGAAATGGCCATGTCATGATGTTGAGCTCTGAGCGCTTCAGGATGCAGTTCTAATACTCAGTAGCTCTCAGTATGGGAGATCTCTGTCCTGACGACTGCTGTGTCCCAGATTACTTGGTGCTACTTGCAGTGGGCTGGAACATTAGTAGTGGGGGGCTTGAAAGCCAGTCCCCTTTCCCATGTCCACCCCCCGCAGAGGCTGTGGCCACAGCTGGGGGTGGGCGTGGGGCCAGGAGTGGAGCCCTGGGCAGGGACCATCAGCCGGGACCCCATGTGCCGTGGGAGCAGAGGCCTGGGAGCGGGGGGTGGGGCCAGGCTCGGGGCCCCGGGCACAGGGCCAGCGGCCATGGCCCCAGGAGCAGAGCCCCAGGCATGGGGCCGGGAGGGGGGCCCTAGGCGTGGCCCTCGGGCACAGGGCCTGTGGCCGGGGCGTGGGGCCGGAGGCTGAGACCCGAGCCCCAGGTGCGGGATTGGGGAGCGGAGTGCAGGGCACATGGAGGGAATAGAGCTAGGATGAAAAATGTTGACATTTTTCAATGCAATGACCCAACTGTGCAAGTCCTGGGCTTCTCCTCCCCATGGCGCATATGGGCAGCGCTAAACCGCATTGACACCCGACATGGAAGATGTCCATACTCACTCCACAGATGGAAAGTGAGGGAACTGCTGAACTGCGCCCGTGACGTAGTGCTAACTGCCGGACACATCACGGACGATGACCAACAGCCATTTACATGCTCTGGACTGGACAAGAGACCTTAAGAGGCAACTGCAGCCACACCGTTGCTTTCCGTGTTCCACTCTCGCCATACAAAAGAGGAATGCTAAAAAAGGACGTATTTTTCAAAAGCGCTGCCCATTTTCCACCAGCTCTAACAGCGAGCCACATAACTGCGGAGCAGCCACCTCTCGCTGCGTGAGAATTCGCACAGCACAGACACAGCTCCCAGCACACACTGGCCTCCGCGTAACACCGGGGATGGCTTCTCTCAGCACTGGCTCTCTCCTTCAGGCGACCTGAATTGATGGTCAGGAATCTGGAGGGGACGTCTTGAAGACATGAGGCTGACCACAGCAAGGAATAGTTGTAAGGGAGTCTCCCATGCCTGACTATTGCTGCAATGTCCTTTCCCATCAGCCCCAGAGAACGGGAAAAGACGCCTGCTGACCACCTCCCCATTCGGACTGCGGCAAAGGATTGCAGATGGAGGCCCCAAGTGACTTCTCCTTGATCACAGAGAGAAGAGTCCAGATGAGGAACGTAGGGGCAGGACAATTACTCCATACAATAAAGGCTACACTCATTTTATTTGATTGCTTCTGCAGCTTGATTGCACCCAGTACGACCAAGAACCGTTTGTGTACGATGGCGAGTTACTATGCCCAGAAGTGGTTAGCTTTGTCTGCGGCACAGATGGTGTCACCTACTGGCATGAATGCAAGATCTGTAGGCTAATCTCGTAAGTACCTACACCTCCCTCCTCACGGCTGAGCTGCGAATATCCTTTGCTGGAAGCATTTTCCTCAAAGAAGGAGAATAATGGGCTAGTTTTGCTTAGAATCCCAGCCTCTCACTGTCCTGTGCGCTCCTCCCACATCCCTCAACACCCTTCCAGGGCCCCTCACAACACTTCAATGCACAGGGGAGCACTCTCCAAAAAGAGCCAGACTGCACACCCCAGCGGGTCCAGTTCAGACAGACGAGGCAGATTTAATGTGGGGGAGTGACCACTACTTGCCCAATTCTAATAGCTCAGTGATGCTGGTACCAGTGGGTAGCTGGCGGCAAATTTTCCCTACCAGATAAATACCTTCCCTATTAAATCTACAGGGATTTTTGATTAAATGTGTTGGTAGTTTCTGTACAATATATTGAAGTGAACTGATCTCCTATAGTAATCAGTGGTTTTCACTAATTTCTCTCTCTCTCTCGAAAAGGAGTTGATGTTAACAAAGAACATGAGGGAAAGTGTGGGGTAAACCCAGTTTTTATTAATTAGACTCATAGATCTTAAGGCCAGAAGGGACCATCATGATCAACTAGTCTGACCTCCTGCACATCGCAGGCCACCAAACCTGGCCCACCCACTCCTGCAGTAGACCCCTAACCTCTGTCTGAGTGACTGACGTCCTCAAATCATGATTTAAAGACTTCAAGTTACTGATAATCTGCCATTTATACCAGTTTAAACCTGCAAGTGACCCATGACCCATGCTGCAGAGGAAGGTGAATCCCTACCCTCCCCACCCCGCGGGTCTCTGCCAATCTGACCTCAGGGAAAATTCCTTCCCGACCCCCAATATGGCGATCAGTTAGACCCTAAGCACGTGGGCAAGACCCACCAGCCAGACCTCTTTATTTATTTCCATTTGGCATAGAAAAGACAGAAGGATGTTCCAATCCTAGGCTCCCTTCCCATAATAATTCATCATGCACAGTCCAACATGAACTCAAATACTAGCAGGAAATTGGCAACCATTCTCCCCGTAAAAGAAGCCAATCTTCAAACCAACAATATCCCCATTTCAGTCCCTACAAAATCCTAATCCCCTAAATAAAAATCAAAAGTGTTCTGATGATGGCCATATCTTACACTCAGTGCTCAGGGGTGAGTACGGGTTATCTAACGGCTATCTAACGATTTTTTCTCTCAGATGTCCACGTTGGTGCCTTTCTCTCCTACTGAGGTTGTAGACCCAGAAACATAGACTGGAACGGTTCTTTCAGCTCTGTGTCCATGGAAACATTGATATCACTCATTCTGGAAGAGGAGACCAGGAAATCTGTACCTCAATTGCCTCAAGATGTGAGAGAGATGATACCTGACTGACCTGCTGACATACACAGCGTATCCACCTCCCTGCACGTTTCTTCAGTTTTGGGATCTTTCCAGCTGGTTCTAAAATTAGAGAAAATCCTTCCCAAGAAATCCCAGGGTCATCTCCTCATCCTCATCCAAACTGCATCCGGAAGTGAACCTCTGTCACTGTAAAACTACTTACTCATGATCCCAAAGAGTGAGGGCTGGAGACCATTGGAACAATAGTCATTGCAAATATTTTCATTTTTACCTCCTCTAATTATCTGGGAACCATTTTTTCTCTGGTGTGTGATTGAAAGGTTTGGGATCCGCTGATGAATAGCCCTATAGGAGAATTAGGTATTATGATCATTACACATTGATTTTAAGGCAGAAGGGGGCACTGTCCATGTCTGCTCTGACCTTCTACATAGCACAGGCCATAAGAAGTCACCCAGGAAATCCTGTAGTAGAGGGAATTTCTCCTGCCTGGATTTATTCCCCAAACAGGAGTTGGCTCACCCTGTTGGGATGTTGTAGCAGGACCCTTTGCTACCCAACACCCTGCAGGCTCCACCCACTGGCATGGGCTGCCTGGCTCTCTCATAGACTTGCACAATGCCCGTCCCTCAACTGCTGAGTGGTTTAGGCACTCAGACTAGCGCGCTTGGCTTGACTGTCTGTGCAGATGCAATCGCAATACAATATACTTCCCACCCTGAAACACAGGAGTCTTATTGGGCCGGGGTCAGCCTCGCATTAAGTGTCTAAGCCTCAAAAATAAACATCATAAAACTTCCTTTATGATTATTTTTTGCCTTCTTGTTTCATGAATGTGCGTCCTTTCCAGCGAGCTCAGGGAGGGATTATGCCAGAGAGTGATATTTCCAACAAAACTACAGATAAAAGGACCAAACCCAGAAGAGGTTCCTTGTTTCTGACTCAGGCAAAACTCTCGTTGGAGCCAGGGAGTCAAAGCCTGCAGTCTTTAACCCGGTAGCTAAAATCATCCTGCCCTTTCAGGGTATGTCTGCACTGCAGACTGAGGTGTCGACATAACCCCGCTAGCACGGCTAAAAGTAGCAGGATAGAATGCGCCACTCAGGTTCCCTTTAATTCACTCCCTGCCCATATGCAGGTGGGATGTGGTCTCTAAAGACGAAACCCTTTGTCCCTCCTTTGCTTACATTACTTCCTTAGCACAAAGGATCTCTTTTATGCAGTGTCTATATTTGCTTTTCAGTCTTCATGGCAGTACATGTGGCGTTTAATTATGGCTCATTCTATTGCAAGGGCCCTACCCTCATCTATAATGCTTTAATGAAGCCTATACTTGTCTCAGAGACTTTAAGGCCACACATCGCAGGCCACAGAACCTTACCCACCCAGTTCTGCAATGGGTCCACAACCTCTGGCTGACTTACTAACATCCTCAAATCATAATTTAAGGACCTGATGTTACAGAAAATCTAGCTCAAACCAGCAAGCGACTTGTGCCCCACAGTGCAGAGGAAGGCAAAATCTCCCAGGGTCTCTGCCAATCTGACGTGGGGAAGAATGCCTTCCCAACCCCAAATATGGCGATCAGTTAAACCCTGAGCATGTGGGGGCCAGACCCCTGGGAAAGAATTCTCTGTAGTAGCTCAGAGCCCTCCCCATCTATTGTCCCATCTCCAGCTGTTGGAGATACAGCAGAACCCCAATTATCCTATCTATTTGGACCGGGGCTAGATAGGATAATCAAAAATTCAAATAATCCAGAGAATGGGAAAGTGCAAGGCTGAAGCGCCATCTAGTGGCCACAGGAGAGATTGGCAGCTTCTGGACCCGGAGTCCTGGTTGTTTGGTTAATACAGAGAGATGGATAATGGAGGGTTGGATAATTGGGGTTCTACTGTATTTGCTAATAGCAGTTGTGGACGGGTCATATGCCATTGTAGGCAACCTCAGTATACCATCCCCTCCATAAACTTCTCAAATTCAGTCTTGAAACAAGTTTGAGAGTTTTCCCCCCACTGCTCTCCTTGGGAGGCTGTTCCAGAACTTCACTCCTCTGATGATTAGAAACTTGCATATTCTTTGGCACAGAATTCACCCCACCAAACATATGTTAACCTTTATCCATTGTTTCCAAACCCAGACTTTCAGCTGAAGTCCTAGCTGACCATCTGTCAGTGAGAAACCTAGCACAGCAAGAAAACCCTGGAGAGGATGGGGAAGGACAGTATGGCAAGTCCTCACACCTCCCTAAGTGTCCGTAGAATGCGTGGAATCTGTAGAGGCCCAGCTTCAGGCCCCTTTAAAGTCTCATGTAAATCCTATATTTGTCACCCCAAATAACTGATTCAAAAGCTGTTGCACTCTAGAATATCTTACAACATATGTAATGCAGTACGCAATCTGAATAGCATTCAATGTAACAACTTAATGGCGTGGTCCATCCACATTACCAGATTCCTCCCTCCAATTTCATAGCTTCCACCGCATACACAATGTGCTCATTGTCCAGGAAAAACAAAGGACCCACTGTACAGCAAGCTTTGTTAACAAGCTGGGTGCAGCCTGTGTGTTTATTGCATTCTCCTAGGCATCTCGCTGATAAGAAAATGTTCTTTACAGCTCCGTACAAGCCTCAATAAAAACCAGCTAGCTTCCAGAGCCAACAGTGCTGTTAGGGTGGTGATTTCACAGTCAAGGTTGGGGAGATACACACATTATATCTCTGTGAGCTCGGGCAGTGGAATCTGAGAAACATCATCTACTCAGCAGAGCAGCTACAGACTTGACTCCCACTCACCCATCACCTCCACCATGAAGATAAGAGGTGTCTTTGGTCTGCTCGGTCTGGCGCTTTTCAGCTCTTTTTCCGGTGAGTTGATTTTGTTGTAGGCTGTGTAATGCCCCTTGGCAGATATCTCTAGCCCTCTTGAAGCCAAGAAGTCAGTGATGTACGCACAACCTTAAAGAGGTGGCACTGAGCTAGGGTTTGTGCCAAGAACAGTTCCAAGCCAGCGGGTTGGTATGGGATTTCTCTTTGGATGAAATTCATTCCTGTGCAGAGAGCTCCTGCAAGGCCTCTGTACCACTTAAGTCCTACTTGAACCTATAGGACGTTACCAGGACTTGTGGGTCGCAGAGGCAAAGTTCACATTGCATTTCATCATTAAGGAGCAACCAAAAACTCTGTTTTTATTAAACAATCAAAAAATTCCAGCTGTAGAACGTTATCTGATATTTACTCAGAGGAGATATAATATTAGCTGTGGCCATCAATACAGGAAGGAACAGGTGGTCTCCTGAGTTAAGAGCGTATATTTGGTTATTCTTTAGGATTAATGTTTCCTAATGGATGTTTATCAAAGATGCTGCTTTGTTTCTATCATTTTTGTCTCTGTTTTTTGTTCCAGGTGTCGCCAATGGGGCAGGTCAGGTGAGTTTCAGATCTTCTTTGTCATTTTCCCCTGATCCCTAGGTCCATCACAGATAGGCACATATGGAAAACCACTAAACACCAATGAAAGAATAGAGGTGCCTCAAAAAGTGAAATGACTGCCTTGCTGTAGAATTGAGACAATGGATCCCTGGGATTTGGATCCATTGTTTCCACACGGTGCAACTGATAAAAACAAACAGTAACTACTAATAATATAGGGTGAAATTTACCCCAGCATAGAGGGCCAATGCAAGGCCAATGTACCGCTTAAAGCCCACTTAAGCCCTAGTGCAGAGGGGTCAATTTAATCCATAATGCATTTGTCAAGGCCCCTTGTTAATTTAATATACTCCATGTGCTTTTTAGTTCAAACACAATTGCATCATAGTGTCACATGTGATCAAGTATCCTTTGCCTTTTGTTTTAAAAGCTACACAAAATTTCAGCCATCTGAATATAATTAAGGGACTTCAGTGAATAGTTCATAAAATTGACTGATTCCAAGAAAATCACCTCATTTTCTAGTCTCTCATTTTCCACCAGCAGACTACATTTTACCTGAATGTTTTGGCTATGTGAGAATATTTGTTGCATGAGGATGGTGGGCACCATTATAAAAACCTACACAGATCTACGGGTGGTGTGACAAAGTTCCTCCTTTACCTTGGTGGGTCCTGCTCTTATTGGCAGATTTGCTCGCCTCAGAGATTCACGGCAGCCCTCAGTTTGGCCACTTTCGTGGCTCAAATCTGCTGTTTTACTCAGATAACCTCATCACCAGCCAGCATGGGGAAAAGGAAGGAAAACAATACCCATAGTCTCTGCTGATCCACCATGTGGGTCGGGGAACAGCCCAGAAACCTTCCCCTCTGGTGGAACGCACAGGGCCCTGTGGCCTGCAGCTGTCTAGAGTGCCTCCTGGAACAGCTGTGTGACAGCTACAACTCCCTGGGCTACTTCCCCATGGCCTCCTCCCAACACCTTCCTTATCCTCACCACAGGACCTTCCTCCTGATTTCTGATAATGCTTATACTCCTCAGTCCTCCAGCAGTCCGCGTTCTCACTCTCAGCTCCCAGTGCCTCCGGCTCTCAGCTCCTTACACACACACCACAAACTGAAGTGAGTTCCTTTTTAAATTCAGGTGCCCTGATTAGCCAGCCTGTCCTAACTGATTCTAGCAGTTTCTTCTTAATTGGCACAAGGTGTCCTAATTAGCCTGCCTGCCTTAATTGGTTCCAGCAAGTTCCTGCTTGTTCTGGAACTGCCCCGTTACCTTACCCAGGGAAAAGGGGTCTACTTAATCTGGGACTAATATATTGGCCTTCTAACAATCTCCTGTAGCCATCTGGCCTGACCCTGTCACATAGGTAATTTTCAAAAGAGCCTAAGGAGGTTTTCTCCCAAATCCCACAGGCATAGGCAGTTCCTTGGTCACCTCCCAGCTTTAATTTGGGACTCTGGTAGGTTTTAGTCCTTCAAAATCCACGACTGGGTTTTCCCCATGGTTATGTGTTCATCCATTTGAGATCCAGAACCATTACCCAGACTGGGCAGATCAGCCCTTTCTTTATACAGCTAGGGTCTTTGATCCTGGCCTTCTGTAACAGGTAATCAGCAGACAATGACCCTCTCCTCAGGGCATCATTTCAGAAGGCTGCATTTTTGCATAACCAGAGCTGGGGAATTTGCACTAATGTCTCCCTGGGGATTCCCCAGGAAATCCACTTCACACTTATTGTCCCAAAAGTCCATCCTTGTCCGGCCCATTTTCCATGCAGTCTTTTGAACTCCCAGGCCTTACATCTGTCACATCCCCCCGAGAGACGTTACATACAATCCTGGCCCACAACGATACAGAAACTCAAAACAATAATGTCTTTGAAGGATATGGCAGGAAATTGAGGTTTGAAATCCTAGCCTATCTTTTGAGGCTCAATCTTTATTGTCTCCCAGAAGGCGACCAGTGTCAGCGTAAAGACAACACAGAGAACATGCTCCAGGCTGAACTTCGAGCTTGGCAACATTTTTCAGCTGAAACGTTTTTTGCTAAAAAAATGCAGATTCAGGACACAACCATCCAATGACCTTGAGTCCCTTTTGTTGAATTTTTCATTTTAAAAAATCAGAAAAAAATCAGAACATTTCATTTCCACATTTTTTGAGCAAAATATTTTCAGCTTGAAATGGCTTTTCGCTTCAGATTTCCCTCTAACTGTATTTTGAAAAAATCAAAAATGTTTTAAAATGCTTAAAAATCAAAACAAAAGGTTTAGTTCCATTTTCCATTTTCCAAAAATTTCAAAGATTTGGGAGTTTGGTCCAAACGGAAACTGTACCCAGGTATAAGAGCTCTGTGAAGCCTCCTCTGCAACCCATCCCCCCTTTTCACGTATATATAACTTTTTGAAATTACCAACAAACCAAGAAAAAAAAATCATTATTCACCCAGCTCTGGTGAGCTCTCCTTCCCCTCCAGAGCAGGAGATCTAGAGGAACCTAGGATGATTACCACCCCTTCCCCTCCCATTCAGGATGGGGGGAAACGTTCTAGTATGTCCTATAAAGTCTCTGTTAAAGGAACTACAAGGGGATGGCACATGCAAAGAGTGGGGTACAGTTGGGGGAGGACCACAAGGCAAAGTGGATACACAGAGAAGCACAGAGCTATCAGGTGTAATGTTGTAGTAAAGGTCACACCCAAATGACACTCTCTTTTGCAGCCTCTTTGCAGTCTCTACACAGTGCTTCCCAGTAGAGAAGTTCCTTGTCCCAGGATGGCTGACCCAGTCTGTGGCAGTGATGGCGTCACCTACCCCAATGAGTGTTTGTTCTGCAGAGAAATCCTGTAAGTTCTTAAGTAACTTCTTCTGATTAACCAAAGCAGCAAAGCAGCACAGAAAAGCCCATAGTATAAGCACCACTGGGCTGGGGACGGACGAGATGGCTTGATGTGATTCTGCGACTCATCGTTGTGAGTCTGGTATTCACTGATCAGAGATCAGTCCAACCAGAGATCACTTGGGAGCTATCTGATTTAAAGGAGTTTAGTTAATTGTATCAGCATCATAGAACTGAAGAGATGTAATGAGTGAGATTCCTGCAAAGTGCTCACAAACTAACCTCTCTTCACATACTCTTCTCTCTTTCTCTCTCAAGACGTGGCAACAAGATTGTCAAAAAGCATGATGGAAGATGTGTTCAGGTACAGCCAAATATCTGCTCTGTTCATTGTTATAACCTACTTCCTGATACATTAGCAATGGCATGTCCTCACAATAGAGACAGTATGAATGTGTAACCCACACACTCCTGGGTGTGGTGCTCTGTCCCTTCTAGTGCCACCAAGACCACTTAGAGATTAATGAGTCTGCTACTGCCTTAGCTAAGGGTCACGTGGCTTTTAGCTCATGCAGTAGAGGCTCATGCATTTAGCTCCAAAGGTCCCAAGTTAAATTAATAGGCAGCAGGTTTAAATTAATAGGCAGCAGGTTTAAAACAAACAAAAGGAAGTATTTCTTCACACAGTGCACAGTCAACCTGTGGAACTCCTTGCCAGAGGATGTTGTGAAGGCCAAGACCATAACAGGGTTCAAAAAAGAACTATATAAATTCAGGGAGGATAGGTCCATTAATGGCTATTAGCCAGGATGGGCAGGGATGGTGTCCCTAGCCTCTGTTTGCCAGAAGCTGGGAACAGGTGACAGGGGATGGATCACTTGATGATCACCTGTTCTGTTCATTCCCTCTGGGGCATCTGGCACTGGCCACGGTCAATAGACAGGATACTGGGCTAGATGGACCTTTGGTCTGACCCATAGGGCCATTCTTATGTTTTTATGTTCGGTTCGATCCTGCCCACCAATGACTGGGGTCTGTCGGTGTTACAAATGCACTAGCAACCAAGCTGGGAGCAACAAAAATTTCCATTTTGCAGGAAATTCTGCAGTTTTGAAATTTGTTTTTGTTCCAAACTTGAATGAAAACAAATTTAGAAATTTCCCATAAAATAAAATTTTCCAAAATACCCACAACACTGTTTCAGTTCAGTTAAAACATTTTGTTTCAATTTTGAGGTTTGATTTTCTATTTTATTCTAACATATAACAGAATATAAACATTGAAACAAAATGTCATTCGGAACAAAAAATCCCAACGTGGAATTTCAGTAATTTTTGCCTTGAATGGTACATTATGTTCCTCCAGAACTGTACACCCTATTACTTGGGATTGTATCTTGCACGTGATATTAACACCACTGACCTCAGCTTCGCCTTTCATGCAGCCTTTTCTGCTTCCTACAATTGGCCTTGTTCTCCTCTTCTTTTACCTCCTCCCGGCAGACAGAGGAGAGAGACAGCAAGTCAGTTACAATCCGATCCCTAGAAGAAGGAGAGGGAGGGTTATAGATTGAACCTTGTGTTGCTTTGTGACTGTTGCAGGTTGACTGCACTGGCTACATGAAAACACCCACAGGTCAGGAAGCGGCCTGCACGCTGGAGTACAGCCCAATCTGTGGCACTGACGGCGTTACCTATGGCAACAAATGTGCTTTTTGCTCTACTGTCGCGTAAGTTCCACAAGAGCTGCTGGGCCATTACAGAGATGTATGGACATTTCGATCATCGTGTTGGTTCCCAGGGTGCGATGCGGTGATCTAATTCTTGAGAGGCTGCTCTGTGTTCATCCACCCTAACCTTGCTTTCTTCCCGAAGGAATGGAGCAGACGTTGACCAGAACAATGATGGAGAATGTCCCCAGGTAAAGCCCAGACATCAGCCTTATTAACTATTTATACGTATATATGGCATACCTTCAATTCAGTGCGTCAGCATGGCCAACCTGAAGGAAAATATCTGTGTTATGCTGATACCGTTTTCAAGGCACTTGGCGACAAGACTGGGAATATGATAGGAGACACGTGTTAAGAGTAGCCCAGAGCTGTCAAATGTGATGGGGTAACGTTAACACAGCCTTCTAACACACACCTTGGTGTGCAGAAAAACTCCAAACCCTCAAACTCTGAGATCTGCTGGTATCGGCTGCTCCACTAACTGGGAAAATGGGCTTTGCCATGGCTGTTGTCTCACCCCACTCCTGAACAAAGAAAGCTGGCGAGTCAATTATTATCAGAGGCATTGATTAGCAATGAGCAATAATTCCTCTGTCTTCGCCAGTCTGATTTGCAAGGCCTCTTCCTTCTTTCTCAAGACCCTCTTCTGCTGCATACCAACCCCAACCAGGAACTGGCCCATGGACAATGGCCAGGCTTAGGGGCAGCTGGGGAAAGTAGCTATTTATGTAATGTATGCCTTTGTTTCTCTTCTCCACCTTCCGCATGTTGCGGAATGACATCAGAGTTCAAGCTCTTCAAGGCAGAGCCAGTGCCTGTTTATATAGTGCCTAGCACAACAGAGCCCTGATCCTGAGACGGGTCTTTGGGCACTAGGATACTATAAATATTAAATATTTACACAGTACATGAAAAGATGGGAGTTGCCTTACCAAGTGGGGGGTCAGTTCTAGGCAACTCCCATCTTTTCATGTACTGTGTAAATATATCTACCTACTGTATTTTCCACTCGATGCATCTGATGAAGTGGGTTTTAGCCCACGGAAGCTTATGCCCAAATACATTTGTTAGTCTCTAAGGGGCCACAAGGACTCCTCGTTGTTTTTGCTGATACAGATACACAGCTACCACTCTGAGAACTTTAATAAACACCCTGACAGGCCAGTCAATGTTACATGACATAGGAACAGCCATATGGGTCAGACCAAAGGTCCATTTAGCCCAGTATCCTGTCTTCCAACAGTGGCCAATGCCAGGTGCCCCAAAGGGAATGAACAGAACAGGTGATCATCAAGTGATCCATCCCCTGTCACCTGTTCCCAGCTTCTGGCAAACAGAGGATAGGGACACCATCCCTGCCCATCCTGGATAACAGCCATTGATGGATCTATCCTCCATGAATTTATCTAATTCTTTTTATACCATGTTATAGTCTTGGCCTTCACAACATCCTCTGGCGAGGAGTTCCACAGGTTGACTGTGCGTTGTGTGAAAAAATACTTCCTGTTGTTTGTTTGGGCATGACAGCATGCTGATGTTTGTCCTGCAGCCACCCAACTCTGCTGGCATCCCAGAGCACCCCCATCGCCCCTCACAAATCTAGCGCCCTCTTGAAACCTGGTTCTCTTTCTTTAGGACCACCTATATTCTACATAATCCCCTAGCCGAGACAAACACTGCAGCTGCTTAGCCCAGAGGAGTCTCATTTCTCTTCTGCTTCCCTTAGAATTCAGTTCAGATCCCCAGTTACTGGCCCACAGTTCCCCTGGGTCCCTCACCTGTAGAGGTTTAAACTGGGTTTTAGCAGAAGCATTCAAAAGTTATTGGTCCCTTTCCAAACCCCTCTCACTGGCTGGCACAAAATGACTGTCACAAGCAGCAAGGAAAAGGGACCAAGCATCAAAGAAGTGCTCTGTATTTTAGCCGGTTAGCAGAGTAAGGGGGGAGGCTATTCCTCCAGGGCTACTCATTGCTAATCAATCTCTCTCTCTCTCTCTCTCCAGACTAAGTAACAGAAAACTTCACCTCAGGCAGTATGGGGAATGCTGAATCCCCAGTGGTGCCGAGTTGATAGTGGCCCTTTTGCTTGCACTTTCCGCCAGCAAAGCCCTGCAATGAAATACCTTCTCCCTTCACCCCAGATTCCGGCAGCTCACCGGGGCTTCTCGGTCCCTCTGTTGGCTTGATCAATAAAGTAAACTCAGCAGCATGCTTTGCCTCAGTTTGTTCTTTGGGCAAGGCGTTATGGCCTCCAGGGTCCTGGCCCTTAGGTACCATCCGACTGTAATAAACATGATTAGTAATGCGAACACGTGGGGGAAAGGGAAATGAGTTGCAGGGGAGCACGTCAGTCACTCATCCAGAGGTTAGGGACTATGACAGGAGTGGGTGGGTGAGGCCCTGTGGTCTGCAATGTGCGACGGCGGTGGTCCCTTCGGGCCTCGGAATCGGAGTCTGTCTGAGACCACAGAGTGTAACGCCAGTAACATGCACTAGGTGGCCCTCTTACTGGAGTTTATTATGCAATTTTGCAACATTATAGCAACTCGCTTTCTGCTTTGATACAAACCAGGGGTTCTCAAACAGGGGGTCGTGAGGTTATTAGGTGGGGGGGTCTCGAGCTGTCAGCCTCCACCCCCAAGCCCCACTTCGCCGCCAGCATTTATACTAGTGTTAAATATTTTAAAAGTGTTTGTAATGTATGGGGGCAGAGGGAGGGAGTCACGCTCAGAGGCTTGTTGTGTGAAAGGGGTCACCAGTATAAAAGTTTGAGAACCCCTGATATAAACCATAGGCGCCCACTCCGTGGGTGCTCTGGGGCTGGATGCTGAGCACCCACCCGCAGCCCCACTATCAGCTCCTCCCCCCAGCGCCTGCCACCCGCCGCAATCAGCGGTTTCACAGTGCGCAGGAGGCTCTTAGGTGGGGGGAGCGAGGACGCAGCACGCTCGGGGGAGGGGGTGGAACTGGGCGGGAAGAGGTGGGGTGGAGGTGGGGCCTTGGGGGAGGAGGTGGAGTGGGGCCAGGCCTAGGGCAGAGCCAGGGGTCAGCACCTCTCGCACATTGTAAAGTCAGCACCTGTGATATAAACTGTTACTAAAACTGTAGTTTCCCCCCTGCCTCCGGCTTGTGGGGGGTTAACTGTAGCCCATAGACCTTGGGCCGGGCTCTTTGCTTAACCAATGCCTGTGTCTTACAATGGCACTCGGGGGGGAGGCTGTGAGTTGTGTGTGCCTCACATCGTTTTGCCCGCCTGGGAGCATGAAGCCAATGAAAACATCCGTCGGTGACTGTGTGTGACAGAGGCGGTGGTGTGAATTTTGACCCGCATGAGTGTGAGTGACACGTAGCAACCTGCCATCTCAATGCGCCCGAATCAGCTAAAGAGCATGCAGACAAATGAACCCCCCCACCCTCCGCGTGAGGGTGACAACATCCTGCATGACCTGACACCTGCTCACCTCTCTGTCCTTTCTCCGCTTTCCACTCTCTTTCCGCGCAGCTGATGCATGCAATGTAGAATCCATCTCGTCTGGTTTATAATCTAGGACTTCCAAACACCCCTCCTGGCCTTTCTTACTCCATTGCTTGGCATAGCAACAGTCCAGCCACCTCCCTTCATGGGCTAGGCTGCTGTCTCCCTCCTTCTAGCATTAAAACGAAGCAATTTTCAGTAGAAGACCTAGTAACTCGACGTTCTCCATATTTCCAGTTTATCAGTAATTCAATGCAATATACAATGTGGTTTCTGGAGCATCTGTACCCTTCCTTCGCCCCAGGCTATGGGAACAGGTAGTCCTGTCATGTCAGAACGGACACAAGGAGCCATGCCAGTGGGGGAAATGAGGAATCGGTGTCTGCTCAGGACTCTGCTGCCAGCGTCCCGCAGGCTCCTCGGTAAAGCCCTATACCCTGCTCTGCCACATTGCTTGGCAGCACCACTCCAAGTCTACAAGGCAGAGGTGGGCTGTGGGTTATGCCATGGCTCCTGGTTGGCTAACCGGGGTGTAGCTTCCTTGGGGAAGAGCAGAGACATGAGCGTGGCAGGGAACTCTCTCCAACTGTGAATCATTTTGAATCTGTGACTCTGAATCACAAACAGGAGTTGCCAGGGCTGCCCTCCCTATCTGCCCCTCCGAGGGTGCCCCGCTGGCCTCTGCTGTGCCACGGGTTCTGAGGGAGGCAGGCCATCCGGGTCAGCACTTGCCCCTGGCCCCATTTGGCCTGCGAGAGGCTCAGAGAAGATCCCTCGCAGGTCAGATGCTCCTAGACAAATTAGGGAGCTAGGAATTTCCACACCTGCTCAGAGCAGCCAGCGGCCAGTTCCAGATGCTGCTGGGAAAGGTGAAAAAAACCATCATTCAGCTGCCAAGACTTGGTTGGTCCTCTGGTCTAGTCCTCCACTCAGCCCATGCAGGATTGTTTCCTAGGGCACATTTCTTAATGTTTTGCTCAATCCAGCCATGCTCCATCACATGATAAACTCTGATCCGGGGAGGTTGTGGGGAACTGAGGTGCCCATACGCCATGGGGCTGGGTGACCTAGAAGGACAGAACACATGCTATAGTTTCCCTCAAGAACACGAGTGTCTTAATGCAAATATTCCCTTTGTTTACCTCCTCCTGTCCTCATTTAATGTCTTGTTTCATAGACATTATCACAACACACAACACACTCAACAAACATCACGTGTGACTGACACCATGGTAATTTACCAGTCCTAGCCCGTTCCACTTTGATGACATTTTTATAGGCTTTGGCAAAGTTTCCTCTGCCACTGTCCAGCATCTCTGCAAATGTTTAAGAGGCATCTGCACTGGCATAGGAGTAATAATTACGTTTCAAAAGACTTAACCAAACCCAGGTTTTTTTAGCTGCACCGAAACCAGACACATTTCAAACCTGTCTTGGATTTTTTCAGGGATGTTTGTGTGATGGGGCACTCTTCACTTCAGCCCCTGCCCCCAAGTCCCATTGCGGGGCACCATGGACTGACCTATCTTTGAGCAGCTCTTTGGTTTATTGTATGAGGACCTGGCTGGTGCTAAGGAAGCAAAAAAACCTCCTGTTCTCGCACAGATAGTCATACTAACGAGTTAGAGCTGATATTATCTGTACGTGCACACCATTGCCTGGTAGTTCAAAGGTGGCTTAGCAGTTCACGTGTGACACATTTAATTGTGACTTACCCTATGGTAAATATTCTGCCCTTGTTTCAGGAGTACTGGGATCTGAGGTTTGGATCCAGCCCACCTCTGGTTTCAGTGGCAGGTTTATACATTGTGAAATCCTTTCTCCGGTCCTTGTAATTCTTGGGGGGCTTTCAGAGCCGTTAGCAATGGCACTGTCAATTGACAATGAGCCACTCTCCATTCTTGGTTGAACTGACCTGAAGACGATAGCTCTTCTTTGCTGATGTGATTCTTCTAGCCGCTTGCATCCAAAGGCACCATGTGACAATACAGGTGCCAGGAACCACAAGACGCTAGATCTCACCCAGCTCTGTCTTTATGCAGGAAGCCCCATTGTCCTCAATGGAACTGTCTGTCTGGGATGGGCAAATGAAACCAATATGTAACATTTCTTGTCTCAAAGGACTTGTTATCCCCTTTTTACAGAAGGGCAAACTGCATGTATGTGTTGTCTCTCAGGTTGCACAGAAAGTAAGTGGAAAGAACTGGGCAAAGAGCCCAGGTCATCTGATTCTCCTGCTGACACCAAAGGTAGGACTGGGGCCAGGATGTATTCTCGGGTTTTAGGAGACCTGAAAAACAGCTTATAGCCCCAGTTTAAACAGCTGAAGGAGGAGCATCAGCATGTCTGATCTGGGACTCCGCAAACAGCCATGAAATCATATCACTTTATGCTGCCTCTCTCCACCCCAGCTGAACAAATGTAGTCTTGACTTCAAAAATAGAAAGGGTGCCCCAAATAATTGGTTTCACACCCACTCCATTCTCCTGGTGTGAGTCATTTCCTACATGTCCCTTAAGAGCCAGCCTGCTGCACTGCAAAACCCCACTGCAGGGACTCAGGAAGGGCCCCGTAGCACGACAATTACCAGCCTCCCTCCTGAGTCACTGCTTTGAAAGTTCTCCCTTTGTGAGACTCCTGTGATTACTGGAGAAAGGGAGATTACCATTGGCGGAGCCATTTAGAAGCCGTAGTTTGTGACTTGCATACTTAACCCAGTTCTCTGGGTTTGATGTGGATAGGGCAGCATTCCTAACGCCTGGGACGGAGCCTCATAAACAACAGCTGGTTCCTAGGGCCAATGATTACTTGGGAAAGGAGAGGGAGAAAGTTTTCATAATGCAAGTGGGGAATGTGAACGTGCCTGTGCGTATATAAAGAGATGGAGAGGAAGGTACATGAGCACTCTCTGTGGGTTTCTTGCTGAGAGAGCATCTCCAGAGCAGGCTGTTGGCCTTGCACAGAACAGCCATGAAAACAACAGGTTACTTTGTGCTACTCGGCCTGTCTCTTTTCTTCTTCTTCTCTGGTGAGTAACTCTTCCTGCAGCTTGTACATAGTGCTGTCTAACATCTCTAGCCCTAGGGAGCCTTGATTACTGGATGTCAGGGGCAGCAGCAGCAGGGGGTGAGATAAAACTGAAAGGGAGCAAATAATGCAGCACCGATTGCTGCTAAGATTGGGCTGAGTTTTTAGATGAATGTGCTTGGAACTGCATCTCTGCCTTTCTAGTGTTCCCAGCCAGTGACTGCTGCAGCCCAGGTGTTTGCCCTCAGGAATGGCAGTGACGACAGATATTTTAAGTGATTGTTACAGGATGTTTGTAGAAAGCACATTTGCAAGTGTGACGTTTGGCACCAGCAATCTGAGAACTGTGCTCCAGTGTTGCCAACTCCTGTGAGTTTATCATGAGTCTTGCAATAGCTGGTGTTTTTCTTAAAGCCCCAGTTCCTGGAAGCATGTGATTAGGACAGAATCTCAGTGTTCATTCAAAAATGTCTCGTCCTCGAGAGTGTGAAGAAAAGCTTGAAAACAGGAGCCGAGGCCCCCCCCGGAGATGCAAAGAGCCGAAGGCAAATTAAAACCCCTACGTGTATTTATTCATTTTTTAAAAAAATCTCATGATTTTCAAGCTAATCCCATGATTTATTGAGCCTGGCTCACGGTTATTGAACATCTGGAGTTGGTCTCCACACGGATACCCAGGGACTCGCGTGTCCTGTTCAAACAGCTCCAGTTCAGCGTGTTGCGCGCTTGCCAGAGAGAATCCACAGGCCGACAACTGTTTGCCGTTGTTTTTCAGTGAGCTAGTTACAATAGCAAACGCTCTTGAGAAAAATCACAGGCTGTGTGTGGACGAAGAGCGGGGAAAGGCACGGAATAACTGATCGATTATGGCTTATTCACCCAGCTCAAAGTGAGACTTAATTAGGGCAGAGATCCACCAGAGCTCTGGAGCTGCCTGCTCCAGAGGAGGAAGACACCAGAAGGCCCTGTGGTCTTATATAAGCCAAACAGGCATCTGAGAGCACAGCTGACAAGTCTCGTCACGCTTCATCTGTGACATTTTACACCAAGTATTTGTTGAGCTGATTTCCAAAAGATTTGCACATAAACTGCAGCTTATGGTCAACACAGCCTGTGATGTTCAGTGATCAATTGGGGCTTAAGCTGCTCTCCAGAGCTCTGCTTTATTCTGTGTCCAGCTGGCCAGGCATAACAACAAGGCTGTCACAATGCCCTGCCCAGTCTCTGGGAAGCTCAGCCCTTAAAGCACATGCCCCAGTACCACACAGCCTGCCTGAAGAAGTAGCAGTGATAAAACATGGAGATGCATAGAAATTGCTAGCGCAGGTTGGATGAGGTGGATGGGTAATTGGGGCTTTGGAGGGGACCGGGCTAGGATGTCTGGGGGTGCTGGGTGGGTGGGGGAGAAGGAGGGATGGACGTTTAGGGGGCAGTTGTGTGGGGAGGGGAGGCAGAGTGGCTGCCTGGCTGGTGCCTGCAGAGCAGGTGCATCAGTGGCTCCTGGCAGCCAGGAGTGACTGGCTGGATGTCGAAGGCTCCAGCCAAGATGCCTGTGCCGTGCATGGGTGTCATGAGATGCTGGGTCCTTGGCAGCCCTGAGAGGAGGGGTGTTAGGGCAGTGCCCATGTCATGCCAGCACAATGGTGTTCCAGTACTTCTGATTGCCAAGACGCCATCTCTCCTTCTGTAGTGACGAGCTGGGTCTAGGGGTGGGGGGTGGGGGTCTCCCTGGGGCCAGGAGGACCCCCCCAGAGTCCAGACCCGGCTCAGCTGCCGTCTCTCCTTCCGGAGCAGAGAGGTGCCGTATCTCCTGCTCACACTGGGCACCTTCCAGCCAGGCTGAGCCCCTTGCACCGGGACCTGCTCCTCCAGGTACAGAAAACCCCTGAGTGGGGCTGGGTAAGGCCTACACCGCATAGCCCGTCCCAGAGAAGCACCCCACAGCCAAGTTCTCCGGGGCCAGCAGCCAGGAGCAGCCCAGTGCTGCCGCCCCACCAGAGCCACTCAGCTCCCTGTGAGGGAATGGGGACCCTCCAGATGCCCCTCACAGAGCCCACCTGCCCTCTCTCCAGGCACCCTCCCTTCCCCCTCCTCTGGCTGACCACGACTCCCTAAGCCCTCTCCCCACCAATTACAGACCCGACACTCAAAATGCCCCCTTCCCTCTCCCTACCCAACACCCCCTTGCTCTCTCCAGTGCCCTCCCCCTGCCTAACGCCAGCCCCGCTTGGCATCCTCCCTGCCCCCCCAGGTACCCCGCCCACCCCTGCGGCTCTCACCTCTGCCTTCCCCAGTGTTGCCGATGTAGTGATTCTGTCACAAGATCTAGCCAAAGTCGCCCGATTTCATTACAAGTGGCAGTATTGTGATGTGTCGCAGAAAAGCTGGAAAAAGCTCAAGCAGACCAAAAAGTCACCAGCGCTAACGACAAAATCGCGAACCTGGCAACAGCAGGGAGGCAGCAGCGAGCTGCGATGGAGGCCCTGCCTCGTGGGATGCGAAGCTGGAGCCTCCCTTAGTCCGAACCCTTCTTTAATATGGGTTCAAGCACCATGTTGGAGTGCATGATCTAGGCCCCCAGGATCCTACATTCACCTATACCCCGGCTGTGAGGTTCCTTCTTAAAGCCATTGCAATGTCCCCCAGCCGGAGAGAAGGACTCAGCTCGAGAGCTTGACTGCAGGCTGTCTGGGGGTGAGGAAACAGAAAGGGGATTGATTGTCTGTTGAGGCTGACAGAAACAGACAGCTGCCATGATTCTTCCTGGCTGGCTCAGGAAAAATCTAAGCACAGCTCGTCCTGCTCAGTATCCCTGCACGGGGTCTCCCTGTGTCCTGACCTCGACGAAGCGGTCATGGGATGAACCACTGGCCACAGGACTGACCAGGAGTCTAACATTGACCACCAGGACTGGCTAATTTTCCTAAGCTGATGCCCCTCCCCCCCTCCTTCCAGGGACCTTGTCTCTGCTCCATGTGCTCTGAAGCCACAGACAACACCAGCCACCTTCAGTTATGCAGACCTGCTGCAACCTAAAATGCTCACATAGCTTAAAATATATTTTTTCACTTCCCTTTGAACCCTTTGCCTGCTGAGCGCTGCTGCAATCACAGTATTGCCACGGGGGTTAGCGAGCACCCCAAAGAGTTTGCTGAATGTACCCATGATGCAATGCGACAGCTGAGTGGCTGTGATAAGTCACTTCGTATTTTTGGTCAATTAATAAAATCCTGTACAACGATTCCGATCATTGATTTACTAGCCCTCCCCTCCCCCTACACGCAGCCTGTACTGCAGGAGATCATATTCAGGAAAATACTGTCATTTTCAAGGTTTTTGTAAATGAACTCAACTTTCACTCAGCTTCCGTCAGATAGTTGGTGGCTTTGTAAAATCTTGTCTAACTGTGGTTTTGTTCCAGATGTGGCCAGTGAAGACGGGGACCAGGTTAGTGCAGCTGTTTCTGCTTGTTACTTTGCACTTCCCCCCGATCCCAGAGAAATGGCTTTGTAAGGAACAGCTCAGGCCTTGGAAAACCCTAAAAAACAACGGGAACCGATGGGTGCTTCCAGGGTCCCCCAGCGCTCGTGGCAATGTAGCCTTGTATATGTGACACAATTATATAGCTGGGCTGTGGGACACAGGCAGACCCACAAGATGGACTGTCCATGGGATGAGACCTGAGCGGGTTCAGACACCACAGTGTCTGCAGAATGTATTCCAGAGCAGAGTCACACTGCTCCTTTTCCTTCTAGCTCCACAGCCCAGTCTTCTCACAGGAGAGAGACGCTGCAAATAGGTACTACGCAGGCTATTTATTTCCCAATAGCAGAGTCAATTACTGGAACGTGACCAAAGCCAAACCAGCTGTACAATGTGATTAGAATCCATATCGACACACTAGCATGCTGGAGACATTTACAAACTCTGATTCGCTTGTCCATCCGGTGGGAAGGGACCGAGAGTTATGTTAGACCGATGCCTGTCTTAACCTTTCCTAATAAATGGAAGCTGCAGGACTGGAGCTTGTTCACCCAGTTTCTGAGTGCCTAGGAAAGGTCGGTGCACTCAGCTGGGACAGTCTGGCTCCGATCCGCAGGGAGCTAGCTGCACTGGAGGCTGATTGGTTTTAAGAGTGTTGATATCTATTCGCTTCTAACATGACGGGGCCAACCTGTTTGGGAAACCAGAATTTCCTCTTGATAAGTAGGTGGTTACAACCCTGCGGAGATGCTCCTTCTGATGCCACATCCATTGGCCGTGGAAGGATTTCTCTCTCCAGGGAGCAGACAATACCCTTGCTGCTGTTTTAACTCCTCTCAGTAGAAAGACGAGAGTAAGTGAGTCAATTGATTATCAGTGCCATGGAAGAAAAAGAAGGGGGGGGGGAAAGGAGGTTTAACGGGTTTTATTATTACTTTTGCAGTTTGACTGCAAGGAGTTCATGGACGACGGCATGTACTGCACAAGGGAGTCCAACCCGCACTGTGGCTCGAATGGCATGACATACGGCAACAAATGTGCCTTCTGCAAGGCTGTCAAGTAAGTGGAAGCAAGTCACTAAAACGAGTAGAGCTGCTCTGGCTTCCCGATTTTCTTCCCGGCAGGGAGGCCCTCTCTCCATTTTGCTTCTGCTTCTATGGGCCAGTCTATAATTCTGGCCCAGTGAGAGGTTTTCTGAGTGAAGCGCCTCACCCAGAACAGACCCGGATGAATCCAAATTCGCTGGAAGGCGTTTCCGCTCCCTGAATGAAATCCACCCATGCAGGGAGTTGGCCCACAGCCTGTGCCCCCAGGTCAGTCCCTCCTGAGCCTTCTTTTGTGAACTGCCTTGGTGCACAGCCTCTTCTTAAGGTCAGGCTTGACAAAGCCCTGGCTGGGATGATTTAGTCAGGAATCAGTCCTGCTTTGAGCAGGGGGTTGGACTAGATGACCTCCTGAGGTCCCTTCCAACCCAGATATTCTATGATTCTATGATTCTGTGATTCTGCCGCACCTCCGCGAGGGGTGAACTGCACCTCTGAAAACTTCAGGAGAGCTGTCCACAGGGTTCCCAGGGCTGTGGGAGCCACCTGCCCCATGGCAAACATGTTAACTCAAAGTTTGAATGGGCTCAGACTGACTGTCTTTGTGGAACAAGGTCTAAAACCCCAAAGGAAAAGCCAGAGGCCCTTCCCATCCAGACCACTCTGCCTCAGGCAAGAAGTTAAAAAAGGGGCCTGAACCTTCCTCTGACACATCAGGAACTGGCCAGTGTCTTGGACAGACAAGCTGGGCTGTTCCCAGGCACCAGGTCCTGTCCTGTGTCTGCGGCACTGAGCTGAATGTCTCTTATCCCCAGCAGTGCCTGAGTCTGTTTTGCTCCTTTTGTAGGAGAAGTCATGGAAGTATTCGACTGCAGCATCTTGGAAAGTGCTGAATCCTCCTCACTGCTGAGTGCTGAAAGCTTCCCTTTTGCTTTCACGCCAGCCATGGCAGATCCCTGCTCACAGCCACGGTCTCCACATGCCCCCTCCCCAGGAGCTGCTGGTGACGACAGTGTCTCCACTTGGCCTGCCCAATAAAGTGAACTCAGCAGAATTTGTTGATTGTTTCCTTTGTCCGTAACAAACAGAGAAGGGCTGAAGTGAGACAATGCCTGAGGATAGAAAAGGAGGACTTGTGGCACCTTGGAGACGAGCAAATTTATTTGAGCATAAGCTTTCGTGAGCTGCAGCTCGGTTCATCGGATGCATGTAGTGAGCTGTAGCTCACGAAAGCTTATGCTCAAATAAATTTGTTCATCTCTAAGGTGCCACAAGTCCTCCTGTTCTTTTTGCGGATACAGACTGACACGGTTGCTACTCTGAAACCTGAGGATAGAGTGTGTAATACTGAGTTACTACAGAAAATTCTTTCCTGGGTATCTGGCTGGTGAATCTTGCCCACATGCTCAGGGTTCAGCTGATTGCCATATTTGGGGTCGGGAAGGAATTTTCCTCCAGGGCAGATTGGCAGAGGCCCTGGGGGTTTTTCACTTTTCCCTGCCGCGTGGGGCACGGGTCACTTGCTGGAGGATTCTCTGCTCCTTGAAGTCTTTAAACCACAATTTGAGGACTTCAATAGCTCAGACATAGCTGAGAGGTTTTTCGCAGGAGTGGGTGGGTGAGATTCTGTGGCCTGCATTGTGCAGGAGGTCGGACTAGATGATCATGATGGTCCCTTCTGACCTTAGTATCTATGAATCTATAATACTAGCAATGTGCACCGGGGGCCCAATTTATGGGAGATTCCTGTACTACAGCATCACGTTTCCTTTTCCAGAGAAGAAAATGACAAGTACATAAAAAGCAGAGCAGGAACCACACCCAGGGCTGTGGCACCAGTTGATTAAGTCCTACATCAGTGTCTCCGAGAGAACAGCTAGCCTAGGACCTGGCTGGGCAGGTGTTAATAATTCTCACCTTTGCCACATATTCCCTGTGGTCAGTCGCTTTCTGGCTCGGTTCCCCCTCTGTAGCATGGGCGTCTTGTCGTTCCACTAAAGGTTGTGAGCAGGGACAACGGTAATGAGATACAATGGTAATGAGAGAGAGAGACCCTGGCTCAATTCCCTCTACTGCTTGATGGGCAAAAGGGATTTGCACCAGGGCCCCCCACGTCTCAGGGGCATTTCCTAACTACAGAGTCAGGCTCTCTCTCTGGCCCAATTCATAGTTAGCACACAGTGGAGCAACTTTAAACGGAGAGACTGAGACAGCCTCACCCCATAGTCCAGAGGCTAAGGGCCTCGTCTCAAAGGTGGGAACCCCCTGTTCAAACCCCTCGACTCATCCGGCAGGTGGGGCAATTCAGCATGGTTCTTCCACATGCCCGGCGAGTACCCTCACACCTGGGCTAGTGGTTACGAGGGAGGTTCCCTTTGCCCCAACAGTTTTGTGTGGCGTTAGGCATGCTGAGCCATGCCTCACAAGTCAGCCAGGCCTCCCCCTGGCTCGGGCATGAGATAGGGGGACAGGCGCCCGTCTGAGGCTGCAGGATGTGCCCAGGTGCGGAAACGTAGGTGCCTAGGGAAATTGAGGTGCCAAGTGAGTGTAGGCACTGGAAGAGAAGGCAGCAGCTGAGTGGGGGTGTGTGGACTACGGTGGGCCCTAAATCTGGGCATTAATTGCCTATGGGTGAGATCCTCCTGGGAATTTCAGTGGGAGTTGGGTGCCTTAATGCCTTTGAGGATCTGGGACCAAAAGCCTTGTAGGGAGAGAGGGCGAAGCTCCCCTCCCCCAGGCAGTGCAGACAGGTGCATGGGGCTGTTACACTCAGCTGGGCAGGATCCAGCACCTGAGGAGTTGACCTTGGGGGGAGGGGGACTCAGAAAGAGGGTCTAAGCTTATTAAAGGAGGAAGCTGCTGAGCCCCCTTCCTTTCCCTTCCCTTCCCAGGAAGAACAACTCAACTGGGGCACAGCCCAAGAAGGAGGGCTGTGAAACCCTGAATCGAACAGGGGAGTTCTTGTGGGCGGGGGAGCTGGTTAATCAGAATAAGCTAGCTCCCAAAAGAGGGGAACTATTGTTCTTAAAGACTCTGGGTGTAAGTGGATTATTTTTGGAACTGACGGTACCTGCAGGGCTGTCCCATGCCATGAGGGGCTGCTCTGGGACAGCACCCATTTGCAGCTGCAAGAAGGGGTCGGTGCAGCTTTGGGTTGTATATGCAACTCATTAGGCCAGGGACAGGGAGCGGACAGCCTCTGTACCTTGGGCAAGATTAGGAACCTCTTTACTACAAAGAGGTAAACAAACTGGAGGGAGGTAGGGATGTGTGCGCAGCTGTTCCTTTCAATCTGTAGTGGGAAGGCAGGCGGGAGGGGGCTAGGGCTGGTTCTAGGCAGAAGCTCACCAGGGAAGCAGAAGGAGCGAGTGGCTGTCAGGATAATCCCTTTACTCACAGTGCCTTGCTCAGTGTTAGAAGAAAGTGACTCTGGCAGCGATCGTTTTCCACTGTCACACCACATCTGGGGCTTATAAAAATGCCTCTGATGAGTGCAGAGACTATACCAAGGATCCCCTGGGGAGGCCCTGGACTTCTCCACACCCCACCACCCCCAGCTTTCCAGGCTGAACTCTCACTGCCCTGGGTATTTTCCAGCACCAAACTGTGTTTGCCCGGTGCTGCTGCTTCCTCTCCTTGTTTGTGTGCAGCAGCTGGGGAAAGAGACACTTGCCTCAGTCCCTGCCCACCTCGCAGCAGAACATACACACCTGGGGGGCGGGCGGGAGGTTTGGGGCAGCCCTGGTTAAACGCCAGGTAGCACATCCCGGGGCTGGCAGCTTCTCAGTGTAACTTTCAAGGTGGGTTTGAGCCCCTAATTCAGACAAGCATCCAAACCTTTGGGCCATTTAGCTGGACGCAATCTGACCTCTGACTATTTGGATACTTGTCCATAACACTCCTGGGTTCTCCTGACGATATTCCTTCTGGTCGGGCATCGCTGTTGCAATTCAGAACAAAGGTGACTTTTTTTTGCCCATACACTTAGCACATCGAATGGCAGCTTGTTTTATGGCAAATCCCATCTGCTCCGAGATTTGTATAGACATTGCCGTTTCATGCAGTCTTAGGAAGCATCCAGGCAGTGACTGCCGTGATCCTGATATGTCAAGCAAAGCCAGCAATCCCATACGTGAGCAGATTGGAGGTATTTTGTCCCAGACGCTGTTTAAACCTGCCAGATTTTTCCAACATACTGTACCTTCGTACATTTACCAACTCCTCCGAAAATATGATTAACCCTTTATATGCCTCTGGATAGATAGACAGCCAGCCAAGGCGCACTTATGGGGATCCTAAATTCACATGCTGTATGCTTTATCATACCACTGACGTTAGCATGTCTCCTAATGAGATCCATTCCCAGAAATATCACTGCACCTCCCCCCCCCCCCCCCCGAGCATACCTTTCAGGCTGGAATATCCAGCTGCACCAGGCAGAGAACATTGTTCTAGGGCACTTTGGAATTTGATAATTATTCTGTATTTGGCTCTTGTTAGTGCAATTTTTAAAAGCCAAAATGAATCTGAGTGTGGCAACAAATTTAAATGAACATTATGCATGCCACGCTTGTCAGAGCAGAAGGAAGAAATTATGGGACGGCTTTCCCATCGGGGTGCAGTTACTAAAGTAAAGCAGGGAACACAGTTGAGCCCACGATTTTTGTGGACACTCATGATTAGGGTCTCCAAAATGGTTGCCCACTCTAACTAGGGCTTACTTAATAACGGAGAGTTCAGGCAGCTTCCCCTTGTGTGCTGCTGCTGTGTTCAAACTTTTACTTTCCTGTAAGTAAGTTTGAGAACATGAAAAAACAATAATAACAGCGAATAAGCACGAGCTTTCCAGTCCTAGCTCAATGTTCGGCATCTTGAATTAACATTCTTCATGTTTGGATGGACTCCCTACCCCTGAAGCTTTTTGGCTGCTCTGTAGAGTGATTACAATGCAGTTTGCACAGCTGGGTAAGCCTGCCTCTGGCCAGATCCATGGCAGGCATCCAGCGGGAGTTAATAGGCAATCTTGCAGGGTCTGTGATTGTACCAGAATCCCACAGGTGACATGAGGTGATCATAAGAATGGGTTACCCTAAGTGGTTGGTCCTACCACTTAACACTTCCCCTGTTTAATTAGCAGGGTTTATCCTCATTATGGGCCAAACTGATTCCTGGTGTGAGTGCAGCACGGAAGACACACCTGCTTACCCCAGGGCTCAATTAACATCACAAGGGTGGGATGGACAGTGAAAATCTACAGCACTAAAAGAAGCTGGGGGAGCTGGGGTGTGGTGGTCCCCTCATTACGTGAAGTTCTGTTCTACACACACATCCACTCTCCACCCTGCTTGCAGGAATATGGCAGGTTCCCTATTGCGCGTTATCTCTGACACATTGCACAAAGAGGGGAACATATCCCGTTGTGATATCAATCCGCTGGCTGGTACCAGGCCATCTCTTCTAACTGGTCACCAACAGCTGGTGTTTTCCAATTCCCAACTGCAGAGATCACAGAAGGTGAATTTTGTCGAGTGCCTCTCTGAGTTTCCTCACTCTAATCTGCCACCAGACAACCTATCAGAAAATATATTGCCCGGTATTAGATTTGGGCATGGGTTGAATTATACCTGGTGTAAATCCAGTATATACATGGGATGAATTTGGCCCCATGACACACAATATTGATTAGCATTTTTCTATGTTCCAAGCACTAGCTAACACACACTCAAAGCATCCATCTTAGACAGATGGGTTACTGTTGTTGTCCCTGTTACACAAATGGGGAAACTGAGACAGGGAGAAGTGACTCACCCGAGGCCACACAGTGTGTGAGTGGAAGAGCCGAATTTGAACTCAGGAGCTCTGTGTTCTTGCCTCTAGACCACACTGCCTTTCAAGACTCTGTCTCACTTTATATGGCTGGCGGTTTCAAAAGGCCACTACACATAGACTTGCATGTTCTGTTCTTTTCTTAGGGAGTCAGCAAGTTTTTAGTCTTTGAAGAACTACAGTTACGTTCTCACTTTTTTCACAGAATCATAGAATCATAGAATATCA